CCTAGTAGTCAACAATCAAGATCTTTTCCTTCTTCTCCACTAAAGCAAAAATTGTCAATTTATGCTGTTTCTTTTATGGCATTCTTCACTGCATAAGACATTGCTTTTACTTTCTTTTTAGGGGTTTCAGTAGAATTTTGTAGCAATATTATTCTGTTTTCGAAAAAATTTCTCAGAAAATCATCAAAATTTTTGTTTTGCAGTAGTCATATTATCTATTTTTGAATCGATTTTTTTACTATTGACGGAATCTGTCTAGAACTACATACAACATACTGCTGTGCAAATTTGCGGTTTTATTTCGAAACCACCCGGTTCACGGTTGTCGTCAGAGTCGTCAATTTCCTATCAGGCAATCTCAAGTCTGCCAATTATTTGTGTTTTTGCACACCGCACTCGGAATTTCGCGACTCCTGGTTGCAAGCAACTATTGAAGCCTAAACAGATAGAAAGTAACTGCTCATACTTTATTGCCTAACCTTTGATTCAACTGGCTTGGCTTCGGCAAGGCGGGGCTTTGTTGCTTAATTAATGCCCCTTGCGCCCGCCGCCCCTGCGTTTCTTTCGCGCGAGTGCTCTCTAATCATTGCCTAGCCTTAATTAGGTCACGAAGCCCCGCCTTCTCGATGCCAAGCCTTTTGAATCCAATGGTACTTTGTTGTTAAAGGAAGGGAAAACGTTTGGAAGTCTTTAATATCGGCAACGTATACGCACAGAAGGCGTAAGATTCTGTGTTTCTTGTGCAGTGCACCATGAAACTATGGATAGTGGGTCACCGTTACACGCAAAACTCGCAGAATCTCGTGATTTTTGCGAATCGGCGTTCTATCAGAGAACCAAAGCTTCTGATGTAACTTCGATACCATACCTTTATGAATAGCCTTTTCTACATATTTTCAACGCTGTAATTGCTTAAGTTGAGTTCAATATAGTGTATAATTTATGGTGAAATTGCGCTAACCATAAAAAACGGTGTAATTGCGCTAGTTGCTTCGGAGCCCTTTACCTAGCCGTTTTACCTTACTTAGTCATCGTCTCTTCGCTCGATATCATAAAGGTATCCAACCACGAAGAACTCGTCAAATGCGACTAATCTCGCTCGAAAAGGCCTGGAATATTGCCTAGCAGAATCGATACTGAGGAGCTGTTTTATTGAGTCCACACACACACTGCTTCGGTCGCTTCTCCCTATTTTTAGTCTGATGCCATTCACGGAGCACGCTCCAGGCACTCTCCACCCTTTTTTGTGTCGAATTCAGCTTATTTGGGTTTGCCAGAGTTTTTTATCGATTTAAAATGCATTTTTCAACTCCTTCTCATTCTTTTTGACTTTCTGTCCAAAAACTTCATTTTTTCTATCTGGAAACAAGGCTTCTTTGTGATTCTGATTTTGTAGAGTTGATGAAACGGAATTTTTTTTATCGCTTATGCTAAGCTCCTTGAGGTAAATTTCAGTTTTAGCTCTGGTAAATTCTAAAAATTTCAATTCTGAAAAAAATCATTCATTTCTCTTCCTTCATCAGTCTAGTAGGCATGCGTATTTATCTTTCTTTTTTTCTGATTCAAATTTTCCAGCAGGCAAGAATACAATCTTTTCTATTTTTGAAATAAGCAATTACAATTGATTTTCATTATTTTTCTTGATTATTCAAGTAAAAAATGTTTGTTCTTTCTAAGAAGTCTTCTCACTATGCAAGCCGATAATTTGAATAATCTCCTCCTGCTTATGAATTTGGCAGAGGCAATCAAAAAGCCTGCTCTATCTACTCATTTAAGTTATCTATTAATTTATCATTTAAATCCCATATCATCCGATTCATTCAATTGATCAGTCATCTTCTTTAATTAATGTATGTGGCATACTAATAATTTGCTCAATCTGCCCCTTTTTGTTGTTACTTGCTTCTCATCATGTTTTTCTTATCTTGCTTAATTACTCATTCAGTCATCTTCGTCCCATCAAATTAAATCTAATAATTAAGCGCCAAATACCAGTGATAATTATTAATTCTTTCAAATTTAATAGACACCTACAAACTTGAGAGGAGTCTTCTTCAGAGACTAGAATCTTCCCTTTCTTTGAGGGAGAAACTTTTTCTGCTACCTGCTAGAATATCCCGAAATTTGAGAAATTTGCTTCACTACCAGTCCCATATTTACTTACGACTATTTCCGGCTCACGCTAGGTTACGCAGTCAGCAAAAAAGTTAGCGTTTATAATCTTGCCCTTGGTATCAACTTCAAAAACGCCAGAACAGCTTTGCCAATGCCAGAACTTTCCAGTATATGAGTTTTTTTGGATCTGTGTACATAAGATGTTTGGATCTTTAGGAGTGAAATTATCAGATTTCTGCTAAATTATTCCTTTGATTTAGCGGCAAGGGAAATCCACGAAGCCCCGAAGCCTTTATTTTGAGAATATTTTTTTTCATAGATCGCTGACTACTGTTATTGTAAAATTGAATTTAAGAATAATATCTCCCTCTGCAGACACCACCGCTGGTCGGTTCTGTAACAGATAACCTTTGATTCAACTGGCTTGGCTGCTGGAAGGCGGGGCTTTGTTACCTAATTAAGGCCGCTTGCGCCCGCGACGCAGTCTGCGTCTCTCCCGCGCGCGTGCTCTCTAACCTGGCGTTAATTAGGTCATGAATCCCCGCCTTCCAGCCGCCAAGCCAGTTGATTCAAAGGGAATTCAGGTTGACTTGGAGTCTCTTTGAGAATGTTAATTCTTTTGTGCAAAGTATTTTTGTTTCTTTTGACTTTTATCTTTGTTATTCAGCAATTGTGTGCTTGTGCTACATAAATGCCGACGTTTTCCCTTGATTTATGCTCGAGCAATTGACAAAGCTTTTATGTATGCTTTATTGACTAAATATGCTGAACGCTAACATTTGCTTTTTTGATAAAGCGAACAAATAGAACATCACTTTCATTGGGGAAGAGGGGGGCCTAAAGCTGTAGCACGCAGAAATGTGTCTGGAGACTTCAAGAGGGGCTTCCTTTGTTAATGTTTATTTTGCGAAGAAGCAAAGCTTGTTTATGAGTCGAATCAACTGACTACAAAAGCAAACAATTTTTAGCTTGGGTTTTTTTCTCGCATGGCACTTCATAACTATCGAAAGCAATTGCTTTGGAAGTAATTCTCTACAGCTGAAATGTGAAATCAACTTTTTGTCCAATTTGACACAGTTCGATTTCTTCCACTCTCTCTTTCGCTCCTTTAGAGCCGTATATGTATAATGATATATTTTAGATATACCGTACCTCTTGGGAAAATTCATAGAATGTTTTTTATCTTTCTTTCTGAACTTCCATTATTCGCTTGATATTCCCCCGATAATTTTTTCCCACAGTAAACACCATTATCGCAGTATCTTCCATTTCGTCCTAGCTTGGAAACTGAACCAATAACACAAGTAAAATGTGCAAGGAAACTTTTTCCATGGGAAAGCTAGACCTTTCCAATTTATCGAAAGGGTCCTCCCTGGGGCACAGATTTGTTACAAATTAACGAATTTCATTGTCTTTTGTTCACGTTTCTCCTCAGCCTATGTTGACAAGTCTCCTTTCATTCAGTTTTGATAAGCGATGTTTCTGACTAAAAAATTTTTTTGAAATATTTTTGCAAGGTCTGCGAAATTTTCATCATGTTTGATCTAACAGTTCTGCACCGAGAATGTTGAATAAATCTTTTTATATGTTTCAAAATGTTGTTCTATTTTATCATACAAGTAGATTTTCATGAGAATTAGAATACTCTATAAATGATAACAATGTGAAAACATTCAAGAATTATTTCATTTCATTTCATTTCATTTGTACGCTCAAGGCGTTCCATAAAAAAAAGACACATCAAGAAGTTAGTAATACAGCGGAAACGAACAAGACATGTAAACAAATGCAGACATCATCATGTCAGTCCGAGTCTGATCCTAATCAGACTAATGTGAGAAGATAAAACAGCTTGCACTGAATATGTTGGTAGGCTAATAAATAAGTATGCAGATGTGGGCATGAGATTTATAACTCCAAAACTTTGAATCCATGGAGATGGGACGCATGCCCCCTCGTTGCCAGCGGAACGATCTTTAGTTACTCTCAAAAGCAATCCGGCGGCTTATAAGGCAGGTCTACTGGCTCAGGTATAATAACCATAACCCAACCTAGCCGGAATGCTGGGGAGGCCCAATGACCCCAAAGGTGAAACGATTCTCATTGAATCCATTTGTAAACTTTGCTCGATTAGTAAGAGCTATAAAAACAAAATCATGGAGAAACAAGTTGGATTTTGTTGGATTTTGAGCAACTTTCGGCACTGTGTTTTGATTTTTCTTTTTTGTCAGCTTAACTGCTTTTGTCAGCATCTGCTTTGGCTTTGAGATACTAAAACGGGCATGATCTCTGCTTTTCGAAATACTTTGGCACAAAAAAATCATTGAGTCTAGAAATCACAGATTTTCAAAAGTTTTGAAACTAGCTGACGATAAGAGAGTCTCATCGTGACATACATCTCACTTACACAATCACTTCAAACTTTATTATTCAAAAAATTCATATACATGCTCAATACGCTCAAAGAATAACTTCTCAATGTTAAAAATAAGTTTTGCAGAAGTTCCTTCCTTACTGAGGAGTTCCGGGGAAGGTCTGTAAATACTTTTACTCCGTCTAATTGCAGGAAGAAAAGGAGTTTTTTGGTTATTTGCACATTACAGTGGAAACCTTATTTCTCATTACTGGATGAGGTCGAAAAATGGTCTAAAAAAGCAGTGTAATCGATTTTTTTTATCTAGCTATAGTTTTATGAATTTTCTTATTAAGATATTCTTCATCACTCTTCCTTTATCCTCAAAAATTCGAGCTCCATGCAAGCGCATATCATTGATTTCGTCGCAGTCTCTAGATTATTCGACGTCATTCCATTGCGAAACCTCTATGAATACGTTTAGCCCCTCCCTAAAATTGACCTTTCACAAACACAACCAAACAGTCATTTTCAGATGCCGTAATTATCAAATCGCTCAAATCAATCTGGATCGTCCTAAAGAAGCTGCCTAGACTATGAACAAATCGCATCTCAGTCGGGTAACGAGTGATTTACCAGAGTTACTCGCCAACTTAATCTGAAAATTTTTTCAGACGAACAATCCGCATGCGGTTGTGACCGCAAACGACATCGGAAGTTTTGTCTCTGTTCGCGGTGTAGGCAAAGGTTCGTTAGAATTTTTTGACGATTTTAGGGTTTCAAAATTTTCGTGAAAAATTTTAGGAATTCTGCATTATGTTGGAGAAGTTCACGGCAGAGAGGGGCTCTATTGTGGTGTCGAGTTGGAAACACCAACTGGAAAACATGATGGAACTTATCAGGGTAACGTACTTGAAATTTTCTATTTTCAATTCTATGCGTTTTTTTTGAAGCTGTATGTCCAATATATTCACTATATGTAATTTATGACATTCTTCGATTTTTTACTTTTTTGAATTGCAATATTCCTAGCCAAACTTACGGTGTCTACTTCAATATTTTTCTTCTTTCAAAGTCATTGGAGTCAAATATCTATGTTTTCAGTATCCATTCAAAAATATTCCTCATAAAATTTTTTGAGAATCGACAGCGCATAAACTGGTAATATATCTCTGTACTTTTGAGTGTTTTCACGGTCCATGATGACATATTTGGAATAACAAGGTTGTTAGAGGCGGTGTACGCCACTTCAAACATCTTTTCTACTTGCAAAATACTCAAAAAGTATCATATTTTCATCCTTGTAGCCTGAAAAATGCCATCGTTTTTTTGACTCGATGTACAGCTCGTTTTTTTGAAATTGCACAATTTTCGAAAATCTTGCATCTATGCATTTTGCGCATAATTAACCTTTGCTTCAACTGGCTTGGCGGCTGAAAGGCGGGGCTATGTGACCTAATTAAGGCCACTCGCGCCCACGACGCAGTCTGCGTCTCTCCCGCGCGATTGCTCTCTGATCATTACCTATCCTTAATTAGGTACGAAGCCCCGCCCTTTCAGACGTCAAGCCATTTGAATCAAAGTGTACATCAACCTATGTTGTGCATACTTGAAGAAAATTGCGTATTTTTATAAATCTCATATCTATGGTTTGTGTGTAATTGCACCATGTGCAACCCTTCAACAAAAAAGCTCTATAAAGCTCGCACCACCTTATTTTCGCTGTGCCAGATAAAACCTAACCTCGTACTAGTCACCGTGAAAGCCAACAGAGTATCTGAAATTGCAGAATTGTGAATGAATATTCGTCTAGGTGTCGTTTACTTTGTGTGCCCACCGTACCACGGCATCTTTGCTCCGTTATATCGAGTGGAACTCGACGAAATCGACGATGTTCCTATGTTGACCGCTTCGCAGACCGCCAAAACTACGGAGGTACGTTTAGAAAAATTTCTTGAAAATATCTATTCTCACGTTTAAATAGGGTAAATACCTGAAAAAGTTGCTTATATTTAGATCACCATCTCCTTCAAGTACTTAGATCTCCGATTTTTTTTTCTACTTTGCATTTGGAAGTTCAATAATTTTTCAAATTCCAAATAGAGTCTTCAAATGCAAATTTTTGTCTCACAAGTACGCCAGAATACTAAAAATCCCTTCCTGCAGCTAGGGAAGAATGTTATAGAGATTAATGAGTGGTAGTTTTGCCCTAGAATTCGTTTGCTAGAGATTTCTTGACATGTTTACAACCACCTAAGGACATCCTGGGCTCACTCTGCACAACCCGAATGAGATATGATAATTTTTGCGGTTAATTCTCCAAATAAGACTTATTCTTTATTCGCAAAAACAGCGGTAAAATTTACTACATATTTGTCCATCTTTTCGCGGTAGCCTTGACGATCTTTACTCTTAGTTTATGAACAATTTTAATGGAACAAATTCTTCCAATATGTTCTTTCCCAACGAGATGTTGCCGAGCTAAGCTCATAAATTTTTGAGTAGTCAAACCTTGCATATGAGATACCTTTTGTGATTTCTAACGTTGTTTCTCACCTTCTTTTCGATCACAAGTTCTTGGATTTTTCCAAAACCAATTTCAAACCAACCTCTTTTTTTTTCCAGAAAATGAACAAACTTTCATAGTTTATATGGTGGCATATTAAACGAAGAAAAGAAGTTCATGGCTAACCTAAATTACAAACCTCCTTCATATTCTTGCAGATCGCTTTCAACCAAATTTTCTTCTTCCTGTTTGATATAAAGCTTAAGATTTGTTGCACAAAATTGCATTTCTTTTTTCTTGCTCAAAATGTCTCTTTGGGACCATTATTCGAGGATAAGGAGCATTGCTACCGTATCTCAAATTCGTTTCCTATGCAATTTTTACAAAAAGAGGAGCGGGCGTTCCGAATTTGCTTGACATATGTTTCACCGTTTTTTTATTGAGTTTGAATCATCGAGAAAATATTTTCGCTAGTGTATCCACTTATTTATTTTCAAATTACTTGTATAGTAATCACATTCGGCTAAATATGTTGAATTAAGCAGATATTATGGTATACAAAGTCAGAAAAGTCAACGAATAGCACCAGAGCTCGCCGATATCAACTTTGCAGCTATATACGGTTACAGAGTGAACGAAGTCTGAATCCAGGGGCACCTTTCAACTCACCTCGACGAGATTCATATTTTGATATAAAATGACTTGGCGGCTGGAAGGCGGGGCTTTGTGACCTAAAAGCCGCTCGCGCCCGCGACGCGATCTGCGTCTCTCCCGCGCGTGCTTACCCTAGCCTAGCCCCGCCTTCCGGACGTCGAGCCAGTTGAATCAGAGCGTAGGTAAAAACCTAGTTCTTATCGTATTCAGACATTCACTTCTATATATTGAAAGATGCATCTCGTCGAAGAGTCGAAGGGTGCCCTTAGATTCAAAATTCGCTCAATCTGAATTAAGACGTGGCAATGCGACGCCGATTTCGGTGAACTCTGGTGAAGTTCGATGACTTTTGAATAGTGGCATTATTGCACCCATCCCATACATCTACTCTTTGATTCGACTGGCTTGGCGTCCGGAAGGCGGGTCTTCGTGACCTAATTAAGGCTAGGTAGTGATTAGAGAGCACGCGTGCGGGAGAGACGCAGAAGCGTCGCGGGCGCAAGCGGCCTTAATTAGGTCACAAAGTCCCGCCTTCCAGCCGCCAAGCCTGTTGAATCGAAGTTTAGCTAGATCTCTAAAGTGACCCATACGCTCCCCAAATTGCCAAATGTTTTCGTCCCTTATAATTATAATATCGAGGACTTAGCCAAGATTACACCAAACTTTTCCAAAGCCAATGTCGAACATGCTTTTTTGGCCTAGCGGTCAAAGAGTTGTGAGCCGGGGGAGCTCGTCAGCTGGTCTTCGTGTTGGTCATGATAATCTATCCAGTTCGGATGTTTGCACAGTCGGTGCTCCTTGACGGAAACACCCATCGGGATTTTTGGGCTCATCCCGCTCTGCGCCTCTTCCTTGGTCCCACTATTCCACCTCAGTCACCATCTTTTACAACCCCGACAAGTAGTGTAAGCCGAACAAACGTGTGAAAAACTACTTGGCCCTAGAAAATTTACAACGTATGACGTAAATTTCTGGAAAACAGCTGCAAAAAATTTTCTTGAGACTTCTTCAAGAAACTCATAGGAGCAATTGTGAAGATGACAAGTGTCAAGTGAGTGAGTGTTAACTGCTGTTACAGAACAAAGTTCTCTTGACATCAACGTCAAGACTTCCTCAAATTGTTGAAAAATCGGTGGTAAGCTCTTCAGTAGCTTTTCTCGCTTGCTTCGGGTCTTTTGGGAATTTTCTGGAGATTTCTGGCTTTGTCACTTTCACTTTCGCTACGTAAATTTATCGCGTTTCAGTTTTCCCACTTCTTTGCTTTTTTTGAGAAAAAATTATGACTCCTTATCTTATCAGTGAACAGCTTCAGTTGAAAACTAAGCTTTTATAGTGTGAGAAGTGTCACTCGCTGGGTGTCTTCCTTATGGGTTTTCTTCCCACCTTTTCCCCCAAAATCAATAGAAACTGATTTTTAGAGATTGTCCCGTTCGGCTCTACCAGCTCTACAACTTCGAAACGTATTTCGGCCTGAGGATCCAATGCAAGCATCAATCGTTTCCGAACAAATGATGGAAGGATCGACAGTGAGTTTTAAGCTTTATGTCCACCGCTAAACAGTACTTATTGATTTTTTGAAAATATAATACGCTTTCATATACAAGACAGTACGGTGTTTTGTTTTTTTTGCAAAAAAGGGATAAAATCATCGTTTCACGCAACTTAAATCTTCGTTTATCTGTAAAAAAGGTAGCTGTATTCTAGTTTACTATTCTGTAAGTATACTTTAGCTTTGAATCCAGAATTTCCTTCCCCAATCCTACACATTTTTCTGCCAATAATCTCTCCTTGTCCTATTCTTGCAATTCATAAAGTGTTTAAATTTCTCATCTTTTGGTTTTTGTCTGCATGTTTCTTACCTTGATACACAGTGTTCGAGGTGTTTTGTTTTAGATATTTACAAGATTTTCCATACCTGCTCCAAAGAATTATTAAAAATCTTGAAGATGTAATTTTTTTCTTGTGTTTGCGATTTCTTGTAACTACAACTTTCTCTTGCCTAGATTTCCAAAAAGATCCAAGATTCCCTTAGAGAACCAGTTTCACAAATTTTGCATCCATAATATTTTAAGTTCTTTACTTGATGCCATTTCTCTGCCATTCATTTGGAATCTCATTTTTGAAAGGTTTTCTCATCTTTGATTTTTGTCTGCAAACTGCTTGTCTTGGTTTTCTTTGAATTGAAAGTATTTTTGTGATATCATAGCTTATTTCGGAAATTGAAATTATTTTAGAATTATGGAATCGGTGAACATCGTATCATATTAAGTCGGGCAAAAGTTTTGTCAATTTTTCCAATCCATCGACAAACACGTCAGAATGAAGATAAACGTCCATTTCAAAATGTATCCGATGCAGAATTTCTTCCTCTTTCTAGCTGCTAAATTCCCATTGTGTTTCGTTGCGAGAGTGACGAGATCTTTGCTAAAAATTACAACCATTCGTTTTTACCATGTCCAACTTTCGCTAGTTTTCAAAATTTTTATATGAGGCTTTCGGAGGAGCCCTGATAGCCCCCATATAGGGCAAACCTTTTGCCAACTTATGCAATTTTTTTCTCTTTTTTTTTCCAACTGGTTTTTCAGATTTTTGCTAAATATTTTAAAAGTCTTGGTTTTGGAAAAATCGCATATCCTGTTATTCACCGAACACTGCAAAACCTGTAGAATACTCAATTTTCAACACTCGATTATTAATACCGCTACCATTACAAAGTAAATGAGCGATTTTCGCTTAGAATTATGAAAATTCTGAAACATAGGTTACTTGAGTGCTCACTCCTGAAATTGAGAATTACTGCGATTTTCCCCACAAATTTCGCCTGTCTCGGCAGTAGAAGACAAATGTTAGAAGGAGGAGAAAAAGTTGCATCGAATGGTGACTGAAGTGTTCAACATTTTACGTCTTACGAGGTTAAAATAGTCTGAATGTAAAATTTGGTCACTTCAAAAAATGAATCGTACAAATTCTGAAAGACAAGCCGTAGGGCTACAAAAATTGCCTCTGTTGGTAAACGGTTTGTCCTATCCGCTGGTTATTAAGGCCCTCCGAAAGTCTCAGTCTTTCCAGCAATTCTCTTAACGAAACACAATGGGAGTTGAGCAGCTGGAAGGAGAAAAAATTCGGACACATTTTGAAGTGCTTGTTTAGCTTCATTCTAACGTGTTTGCCGATGGGTTGAAAAAACTTATAAAACTGTTGCACCGACCTAATATTTATCTTAACACAGAGATTTTATCATTTAGCGTAGCTTCTGAGTTTTCATGTAAGATTATATGACATGAGAAGATTATGTCAACACCAAGGCTGAGCAAGAGAAGCAGTTGTAAGATTTTTCTAGTTTTTGTTCAAAGCATGAATGAAAGGAGCCAATAATCACATTGAACAGAAGTTTTGTTACACTCAGAGGAAAAAAGTTCACTGAAATTTTTTGGATTTTCAAATGACGTGAAGGCTTGCAACTTTCCGATATATTAGGTCATTCCGAAAGAATTTCGCTTTTTTCGAACGGGCACCACATGTGACGGAACAAAGGTTTCTATAAGATCTTGGAGGCATTCGATCCAGAATTTCATTCTCCGGTTATGAAATTGTTGCAAAACAGTCAATGAGCTTTCAGAAAATATCCAAAATCTGCGACCTATGCTTTTTGAGATGGTCAAGTTCCACAATTTTTTGAAACTTTCGTATCAGTCCTCAAAAGGAGTTCAAATAACGATTCGATAGAGTAAACCTTGTAGAATACAGTGCTGATTTTTCTTTTTTTTCTAGCTCGCCGTAATTTTTTAAAAGATTTTTTAACAAAACCATCGGATTTTGGCAGGCCTACGTCAGCCACAATCGCATCAAAGAACGGTAATCATTCGGAATTTGAAACTTCCAAGATGGTATATGACTTAATATTGATTTTACAATGCAAGTGAGAGCTTAAGGATTCAAAATGTCAAATTTCGAATTTTTCGGGTACAGCCTGGGGCTCGCTAAAAAATGAGTTATGATGATTTCTCCCCGGAAAAACGAATTGGAAACAAAAACCAACTATTAGAAAGAGGAGAAAGTGCTCCATTGAATAGTGCGCGAGCTGCTCTTCTTTTGATGTTCCACGAGGGTTGGCGGCCCAAGTATGGAAATCGGTAGCATCAGTTAAAATTCTGTTAAAAATGTATGACAAGCTATGGAAAGGAGAAAAAAATAGATCTGTATTCTATAAGGTTTACTCTATCCAATCGTTACTTGAACTTCTTCTGAGGATTGATATGAAAGGTTTGAAAAATCGTGAAACTTAACCATCTCAAAAAGCATGGTCGCAGATTTTAATTATTTTCTGAAAGCTCATTGACTGTTTTGCAAATATTTCATAACCATTAGAAAGAGAATGAAATGCTGTTTCGAATGCTACCAAGATCTCTTAGAAACCTTTGTTCCGTCACATGTGGTGCTCGTTTGCAAAAAGCGAAATTACTTTTGGAATGACCTAATATGAACGCCACACATGAATCAATTTTCAATACTCTTGAAAACCATAAGCGAACTTCTTGTATTAGCACCGTTGCTCCTGGAAATCCATGTAAAGTCTCAGAAACGAAGAAGAGTTATGAGCAATTTTTGAAAGGAGAAGAGAAATTCCAAAATATAAGCCGTTACATTGCTTCTGGTGTAACTTATTTTTTTATATTTTATATTTTTTGAATTTTTTTATATTTCTTATCCATACGATCTTCCCTCACAACTGATGATTAATGGGCAAGATCGTACTCTTATCCTTTTCCGCCTGTGGAAGGAATGAAACGGAGTTGCATATTCTTCAATTTTATTTTTATTTTTGTTACTTTCTCATTTTGTTTTATTTTTCTTATTATGTCTGTAAAGATGAAAATGATCTTGATGGTACCTCGAGCTTTGTTTTGATACCTTCCCGAATTTTCTTAAGTCTTCCAAAGCAAGAAAGAAAGATTAACAAGATAACTCTAAACCACACATCGGGATTTGCAGCCACCTTTTAAACTTACAAGCAATTTTTAAACTTTTTTTCAAGTTCATTTCCGGACATTTTTTGCGATTCATAGGACATTTTTGTCGCAATACTGAAGACAAACTTCCAAAAAACTGCAATCACGCTAAACTTTTTACGAATGGAAAGGGCATACTACTGCTTATCTGTTTGCCTTTTTTTGCCTTGCTTGTAGTATTTGACATTCTGTCTACTACTACTATTACGATTATAAAAACAGGAAAAAAGAAAGTGCATGGCATTTACAGCCACCCATGAATGTACAACATATTGTTTTTATCGGTTTTTTATGTACTGTTATCTTGCTTTACGAAATTGCAAAGCGAAAAGGCTTGAAGAAAATGCGATGTTGACTTTTTTCAAGTTGGAGGAAAAAAATTGGTTCCAGAATTTAAAATGATTATATTAGGTTGTCCCGAAAGTTTTGTCGGTTTTTTCAACCTATCATAAAAACACGTGGAACAAAGATAGGGAAACGCTCTAAGCACTACCCAACGCATCTTTTCCTCCTCTTTCTAACTGTAATAATCGTGTGCACATTGCTCTTTTGCTCACTAAGATAAACGCCGAAATTTCGAACCCATGGTTTTCACTATGTCCAAGTTTGACAGTTTTTCACAATCTTCGTTTTCAACTTTTGGAAGACCTTATAGCCCTCAGATAGAGTAAGCAAAGGGCAATGCAATGCAATTATTTGACATATCTAGCTGGCTTTTCAATATTTTTAAAGATGATTTCTTCAAAAGTCTTCACTTTTGCGAAGTTCTAAAATACAGAAACGCCTCGAACACTAACAAATCATCGGATTTTGAAATTTCAAAACAGATTGATTACTCACTATTTTTACGAAAAAAATGAGCGCTTACCGTTTCGAAATATAAGGTCTCGCATTTTACGTGTACAGGCTGGGGCGGGTTCAAAATCAAGAATTATGGAAACATTATCGCCAAATACCCCGCAAATTGGAGAGAAAATACACTCACTGGAAAGAGGAGGAAAAGCTGCATCGAATAACACCTTAGTTATGCGCCGTTTCATGATCTCTGGCTTTTGGCATCACCCAAAGTGGAATTTAATAGCATCAGAAAAATAATTCTAAAAATTTTTCAAGACTGGCTATAGATGCCGCAAAATTGCATTATATTGCCCTTGTTTGCTCTATCTAACTGTTGCCAAAGCTTTTCCGAAAGTCAAAAATCAAGATTGTGAAAAATTGCCGAACTTGGACATAGTAAAAACCATGGGTTCGAAATTTCGGCGTTTATCTCAGTGAGGAAAAGAGCAATCTGCACAAGATTATGAAAGTTAGAAAGAGGAGGAAAAGATGCGTCGGATAGTGGTTAGAGCGTTTCCCTATCTTCGTTCCACGCGTTTTTATAATAGGTTGAAAAACGGACAAAACTTTCGGGACAACCTAATATTTTGTTGATCAGCTCAACTTTTGAAATTGGAATTTTTCCCGTAGATTCTTTATCATTGGTTGTTTATTGTTAAGAATCAGATTTGAGCCACATTTTTTTCAAATTTCAAAGCCATTTTTTCAACATTATTTCTCTGCCGTTCGCAGTATGAGAGCTGTTATAAGCATTTGTCCAAGGACAATCTAGCATAAAGCAATGCATAAAAGTCGTTGCGTGACCGGAATGTGCGTGACTATTGACTATTTGCTGAAAAATTGCATTGTGCAGTGAAAATAAGTTAGACTTTTGTCACAGTCATGGTTTTACCCACGCATGTCCATAAGGGATTGGCCTGTTTTCAAACGTTATGCAGCAAAGCAAAAGGTAAGTCAAGTTTTGAAAAAAAAAGGCCTGCTCAAAAAAAATGCTTGCCAGCCATGCCGGAAATGCGTTTTTGAGTAATTGAATGGACAGCAAGTGTGAATTTCACATGTTTTGTGCATTTGCACATCCTGCACAAAATTTGGCGTGCGAATCGATGCTGGTTTTGCCCATAGCATACTATAACCAATAGATCTGCTTTACCGCAATAATATGGTGATCATCTCAATCCTTGGGTTTCCCTCAATTTTCATGGCAACTCGTCTTCTGGTTTTCATTTGATTCAATATTTCTTGACAGGTGAAAAATAGATTTTTGCAGACAAAAGTATCCTTCTGAAAACGAAGAAAAAATGCGGGAAATGGCTCGCGACAACGTTTCATTGCATGTTTTTTGTTCGGAATAAGTTTGTGCATTATTTTTATTTATTTATTTATTTACTAGGTTGTCCCGAAAGTTCTGTCGCACCATTTTCAAAAATTCATAACTTCTAATTTTTCCAATCTATTTGACTGCTTTTATTTTTGTATGGAAGGGTAAGTCATGCTCTTTATAAAAGCATCTTAGCTACTTACTAATATCCATCTCTTGCATAGATAGGAGCGATAGAAGTGAGTTGGTCAAAATTTGAATTTTCTGTGTAGGGTCATAAAAAATCGGAAAAAAAATAAAAGCAGTTGAATAGGTTAGAAAAATCAGAAGTTATGAATTTTTGAAAATGGTGCGACAAAACTTTCGGGATAACCTAATATTTATTTATTTATTTATTTACTTACTTATTTACCCATTTATTGTGCGCCATCGACTAGTCAAAGAGTCTAGGCAATAGTCATTAGGAATAAAAAAAGATGTTCTCATTTGATACTACCAAACTGATCTGTAAAGCTGGCAAGAATGGATCCGAAAACCCCAAATTTTTGCTGAAAAAAAATGTTTTCCTCGAGAGCGAAGAAAAAATCGAGCAAATGACGCATATCGGATAACAAATCACCACAACTCCCGCAGCAAAAATAAAAACAAAACACATTGTGACGCGCTTGATTCATGTCATTTTTCTCATCGCTTCGTATCTAGCTGTCGGCAACACAATTCTCATTATCTTTACTTTCCTCTTCTAATGTGATCTCTTAAAGATAGTAAAACACCCTTTATGTGATTGTTGCTATATATTCAGACATATGGAACTACTCAATGAGAAGGAAACGAAATCAGTTATCTTATTTACATTTCAATTCTTTTCCAAGTTTTATTGATACATAATTTGTTTTATCATCATTGAAATAATATTCACAAGAGACATTTCGAAAATTATCGAGGAAATGTAATTTTCGTTTGGGATTATGTTAATTTTTTTTCTACATTTGCGTCATAAAAAATAATTCATAGTTTCTGAGCTATGACTTACTGTAAAATTAAACTAATGAATAAATAACGTGAATTTCGTAAGTGAAAATTCAGATTCAGACTCTTGGCGATTATTTCTCGGCTTGTAGATGGGTACCTTTCAAATTTTTTGTAGGCATTAATACGATCTTCTCCCAACCTTCTTTCTTCTACAATTTATCCATTTCTTAAATTTCAGCAATTTTTTTTCCTATAAAAAAACTTGTCACGGCATAAAATGGTCCGATAAAAGGCTCCACTTCACTTCACATATTATTTCATCTACAAAAATCTCCTCGTGAATGAAGTGGAAATGCTATCAATTTTCACAACTTTTTTTTCGAAAAATGGAATGATTAGGTTGGCTAAACAAGTTCAAAATAAATTTTTTTCCTATGAAATTTAGCCATGTTGAGGCACAACTGTTTTTTAGTAATGGTAGAGAATTTTGAATAGTTGACACATGATAAAAGAAGCTCTAAACTATATCCATTAAAAAAATCATGGTTAAAAAGCAACAAAAATAGTTTTTCTAGCGATTTGCATACAGAAACGAAATTATTATTTGGCCGAACCAGTGCTATTCATAAAATTCCTTTGACTTTTAGTCTCCTTGATGTTCCTAGTGTGGTTTCTCATTCTCCTCCGAAAACCCGTTGAAATTACAAAAAATGATTTATTAGGGTCATACGTTATTTATAAATCTTTTCTTCCAGTTCTCGAACGTTTCGTGGGGCGATCCGGATGCGTCAATGTTGTGCTCTAATACCACATATATCATCCCACCAGGGGTGAGTGAGCAATCCGTTGTTTTTGTTGAATTTATTAGCTTTGAGCAGAGTGTTACTTGCAGGGACCAGGAACGGGAGAAATTTACGATTTCGCGGTAGTTTTTAATGAAATTACATCCCCTCATTTCTTATATGTTGACTTAGGGTTGATGGGGTTCTATTTTTCATCGCTTTTATTGAGCGGCTCGCATCTAACGACTTCTTGGACAGCATCCAGAGTTGCCACTCCAGCGCGTGCCAGTGCTGTGCCAGCGCAGTGCCAACGCTGCGTTGGCGCTGCGTGTCACGACCATCGATCAATACGTGGTGGCACGACGCTAAGTAGCACTGGCACGCAACTTTGGATGCAACTTTGGGTATATTATATGTTATAAACGCAATATTTGCGCTTAGTTCTAAATAATTTTGCATACGAATTTTATACCTATAAGCTCCAGATTCGCTGCAACGTACGTTTGCCTCATCCTTTTTTGTTAAGTTAAAACAAATTATCATTTGGTGTAGAGTGCAAGCTCTCCTGGCACCGCTTGGGACTGTCACCCATATAACTCTTTCTGAGCTAGAGCATGAACTATAAATTTTCGGTTCCTTTTCGGCTCGAAAATCTCCCTTTCAGCGTAGTGCCTTGCTTGAGCCTGAAGAATGTGATTTGATGAGCATTTCTGCGCCGAAATCGATCCTACACGTAGATCGAGCGGAGGATAGACGAGAGGAAGAAGCCGTATGTAAGTAACTTTGCATAGCGGCGTTTAGAGTTGTCCATGTGCCGGCGCCCGCCGGCATCGGTTCCAGCGCCGTGCCAGCGTTGCGCCAGAATATATTTGGACGCTTCCACTCTGATATAATTGTTGACGCTCCGAAACGGCCCTGTTACGGGCAACTTTGGATGCAGCCTACTAATTTCACTAATTGTCTCACTGCATAGTATTCAAAAGCCATTATATGTTTGTAGACAAGCAATTCTTAGAGAAGAAATTTCCGAATGACCAAAAATTTCCGCAAGGTAAACTGAAATCTGCAGGATTTTGACAGAGATTATCAATCAGGCAAAAAGAAACTTTTTGATAATACAACAACATGATGCAAAGGTTGATCCTTGCTGAAGGCGATCAGTTCAATTTGCAAAGCGGGTGCGAATGCGGCGTTCGAGCGTGTTTCACCTTTGGAGCTTGTACGCCCGCGCACGCCTCGCTTACATGGGCAACCGCCTTCGTCTGGGAGAAGCCTCTACATAGCCGTATTTTCAACAGACCTTTGCGGGATTTTGGAGTTTCATTTGTCTTTTATTTTTTGCAAGAAGTCTCATATAGAAAAATTTTTCAGTAGGTACGTCAATAGTTTTGGACGAGTCACGTGTTGGCGTCGAGAATCTTCCGGTTGTTGAAGACGATGACGTTGATGACGATGACGAAGATGATCTGCAAACACCCCTAGTCGAAACTCAACAATGGCAACCTTCGTTGACGAAATTTGCCCCACCGCCTTCGATTCTGGAATCCTCCGTTGTGGTGACGCCACCATCGGCTCCCCCAGCTAATGTGTTACAAGAGAAGACACTTAATGTTTGTGAGTTCATTTTCTTCATTCGTTTCCGTTTATTCGTTTTATAGTTTTCTTTTTCACTGCTAACACTCGCATAAAAATGCCTCTCATCATATATCATCGCATCTTCGACCGCACGACTGATCGTAGATTGCAGAGCACGCGCGGCGCGATATATTGTTATGCGAGCACGATTTGTACAATAGCGATTCATACTCGAGCGTCTAGCACACGCGCGGCGCGTTCGCAATCTATCCAGTACGTGCGGTCGACGACTCAACGATAACTTACTGTGTCATTCTGTAATTCCTATCTTTGGTCTATCCTTTTTTAGTAATGGTTGTTGATACACTTTTCCTTGCATATTGCAAACGGAATTACCAAAAGTGTGCGAAGGTGTAGAGGGGGGGGGGAGGAGAAATGAGAGAGTGCCGGATGTGGCAGGTTGCACAAAAGGAGTCTGTTTGTTTACTCATGTTCCATTTTATTTACTACATTGAGATCTCAATGTGACAAACACAAACTTATCTCAACGCATCGCCGTAGATTCGAAAATAACGGAATGTAGCACCTCTCTATCTGTTAATCTCACGTTGTAATGTTGTACAGTGCTCAGAATTAGCATTTGTTTCAGTTTCACTATTGTGCCTTCCTTCCATATCTTATTTATCTATTGCGACCACTGATTGCTCTTCTTGATAGCAATCCGGATAATAAATATTAATTTTTTCTGATTTACAGCTCCAGTACGAGCGAATTCGAGACAATCCGACGACACCGGTTACAATGGCGAAAGTGATGCCAGTCGTATGGAGCATGAAGACGTTAGTTTGATTTCGTTTCATTCTTGTTGAGCTTTTTCTAGTGCAGATTTCTTCGGTGTGTGCTTTTTCTGCTATTAATCTTCTTTTTGCTTTTTTCGTGTGCTATTTCCTCTTCGATTTCGTTTCTCTTGCAACTCCTGAGTTCTCCGCACATTTTTTGTTGTGATGAGCGAAACAAGCGATAACTCACATCTTCGTCGGCAAAGCGTCAGTTGTGCGTTGTCCTTGATGTGCCACCACTTCATCACTTAACGCTTTTTACATTTGCTTCCATTTTTCAACTTTTTTTATGTGCAAAGGAGAAAGCTCGCTTGACATAACGCTGAAGTATGGGTGGTACTTGGGTAGAAAAATGAGTTCTGGAAATTGTGGATGTGAGAAAGCGTACGAATGAAGCAAAATTTTTACTCTTGCAAAGTTCTGCTGAGTTTCCGCTTCTGTTAGCAATGACTTTTCAGACCTGAGGATTTGTGAGGTAGATGCGATTGCGGTTATAGTAGATTCATTGCAGTCGTCATAGTGTGTAGCACGCAACACCCGAAAGCGTCTTTGTTTTTCTACAGTATGTTAGCCCACGTTTAGTTTTGCTATTGGAAAATTAGATGCTTACAAAGCTAGTCAAATTACAGCGGCACTGAAACGTGAAGACTTGGGAGGCATTCCTCAGATTAAGCGGCGCAAAGAACCTAAGATATGGGAGGCAAGTGCAATAAAGACGTTACTGTTGGAGTCTATTTACTCAGTTTTGGCGAGGATCTCTGATAGTGCATCTGGCTCGTATTTCACGCGTTATCTTAATAGCGCCGTTTGGCGACTAGTAGTAAGCGGGCTTTCATACTCAACAATTCTCACTGATTATGATTTGGAAATTTTTTTTTGATTTGTCTTTTGCGGTATCCTCGATCAATGTCTTTGACAAAGATTTTCTACACCCTATAAATTGCTAGCATATTTTGATTTTGACGTAGTTGTTGTCTAACCATCTCCTCACCTCCCCCCCCCCCCCCCACCGTTTTATTTATTTCTTCTTCATCAGCTTTTGCTACTGGGTCTTCTACGTATCAACTTCTTTTCCCACCAAGATTGTGTCGATACCAACAGCTGTCACCATCTGCCGTCACCCGTGCTTTTCAAGATTTCCAAAAAGCCGCAAAACAGTGCATTTTGCTTTTTTCGTCTTTTTTTTGCAGCGGGAGGGCGAGCACGAGGTGCTCGCAATTGCTACAATTGCAGAAGCACCTCAGCGCAGTTGGTCAAGCACAAGCTGCATAGAACCAGTTGCATGTTTGTGTTCAGTCTGTTTGATCTGTGACCAGGCCTCCATCGATAAGTGCCCACTTGTCGGTGATAAATGCTCTACACAGGGGTTATCACCCAGTTCTGCCACTGATTGCTAATTCGAGCATGTCTTATTAGCGCTACGCTGCATATCGTATCACTCTAATGATTCAAAGCTGATCTAGTTCATCACAATCCTACTTGCGCGCCCCTTTTTGATTTTGGTCGTCCTTGTTTTTTTTTTCGCTTGAAGTATTGTTCGATGTTGTCGTTTGCGTCATTTTGACGCCAAAAAATATAGGTTTTTCATCATCAGCAAAGACATGCGCAATTACGTCAGGCCTCTGGCAGAGTTCACGCGATTTCATCGCCTGCGATCCTCCAAACAAGACAACAGTCACGAGTCCATGCCGATCATTTTGCATTTCGGTTGTGATAGTTAAATCATGAATAGTCATGTCGGAAAACTAAATCGAAATGCAAGATGATCGGCATGCAATGGACTCGTAGACCTAACAGATTCAATTGGCCGCTCGCGCCCGCGACGCACCTGCGTCTCTCTCGCGCGAGTGCTCTCTGATCATTGCCTAGCCTTAACTAGGTCAAGAAGCCCCGCCTTCCCGAAACCAAGCGAGTTGAATCAAAAGTTACGTGGTAGAGGAAAGGCAGCCGACCCTTAGGTCTCGGGCAGAGTTCACGCGATTTTATCGTGGCGATTGATCGTGACAAGGCAACTGTAACAATATCATTGCATGCCGATGTTTTTGCATCTCGGTTGTGATAGTTTTCCAACACGACTAATCGTGGCTAACTATCACAACCGAAATACAAGAAGAGCAGCATGCAATGAACTCGTAACAGTCGTCTTGTCGCGATTGAATCGCTACGATCAAATCGCGTGAACTCTGTTTGAGGCCATAGAGAGGCGCAAGTGTGGTTGATATGAAAGACGCCGACACGGCCGGCAGTGACGACCTGTCTCTGCGTGCGATGAATCGCCTATAGCAATTCCTTAAATATGGCTTCAATTTGTCATGCCCAAATACTCTTACAAGTTGGCGTTGTTGTTTGGTTTTCTTGGACTTACATATGGCTATATCTTGAATTTGCTGACGCCATTGTACCGTAGAAAATCTCTTCTTGTTGTGCACACGACTCTTCAGTCATATTATAAATCCACTAACTTGAACCAAGTAGTATATTCGTAGTACTTAGCTGAGTTGAGTTGTTGTTCCAAGGTTTGGGCCAGAGTTTATACTTCATTCCAGCTGAAGGTTTAGGACGCCTGCGTCCGCTTCGCCACGGTTTGCGCCGAGCGACGAGGTCTGCCGTCTCCTCATTCTCTTTGTGTTTGGCTACAAAAATGGCTAAGGGCTCGCCGATTGGCGCAAACCTTTGACGAAATGGGGCTAGCTCGTCATGAGAGCTTCTATGTATTTCCCAAAAGATCAAACTGTATTGTAAAATGTGAAGCTTCCTCTTGGGCCACTTCAATAGCTGTATTCATAGCTCGAATTTCTTAGGTTCCTTCACTTTTGGGCGGCTCAGAAGTGTCGAGAAGTGTTGCTGCAATGAGCACATCTTTTCCATTTGTGCATGACTGGAATACGTATCACTTAGACAAGCTTTGTATCCATGTTACATTTTAGTATTGATGTTGTGCCCTTACGGTGATGACAACCTTTGTGCGAATACAAGTCCATGCTTGCATTTTGCCGACAACTTGCTTGCGATTTGCGTGTCAAGGATGGCAATAGAGCGCCCTTTGTCATTGTTTACGCGCAGATGTTGTGGGCAACATAAGAGGATCACGTTAACCGTCAGATTCACTAGGCTGTATGAAAGGCCATTGCTGAATATGCTTCTTCCAAATCATGTTCCTCCCTTCTTTCACTGTTGCATAAATATATTGACTACTGAACTTCCCAAACAACAATACGAGTTCGAGATGGAAGAGTGGGAGGAGGGTCTGGATCATGTGCAAAACAATAGTACATTCCGCTTGCATGGACTTTTCCTCTTCTCAGGCTGTCCGGACAAGTAATCATACCCTATGGTCTTCCCATAGCTTAGCATTTACCCTTTACTCAATGATACTTTTTGTGATGTATATATGACCTTTGTTTTGGTTCGTATTTTACTCTACTCCAGAGAGTTATGGAACAGAGCTACGCCCTTTTGTTTTAACAACAAAAAAGAGCTACCCCCTAGTTAGTGTTTGCCCTCTATAACCTTTGCCTGAACTTACGCTTAAAACTCAGTAATTATCTTGACCGTTCAATTTCCGCGTTTTTTGTTAATCTTTGCTGCTCCGCTGACTTCTTCTTGAGTTCACAACAACTTAGAATCCACTTTGTGTAGCTTTTAGAAGTATCTTAGGGCTGCTTGCGCTAAATTGGGATGGATTTGGCACTGGTGTTCGTGGGCTCTTTTTGCGGCTGGCATGTAGCCAATCAAATTTGGCGACGGCTGTGTTTCACTGCTTCCAACTCCTCTAAAAACATCCTTTACGATGTTGCTTTGTCTTTCTTGAGACGCTCTATGACTGTCTTGTAATCACATTACCTATCTCGAAAACATGAACTTCTTTCCTGAGATCTGCTGGAAATCTTAGCTATAGATTGGCGTCTTCAAAACATTGAGAGAAAGAAATCGAATGTGTCATTTTTCAATTTTTGCGCTAGATAGCAATCGCTGGTTTTTCTTGTAAGCTTCAAAGACGCCGCATCGCTGTAAATCATCGTTGCTAATGTTCGATAAGCTTGTCGATGGCGCTAAGACTGACATTTATTTGGGAAAAAAGATAGAAAACGAGCGATTTTAGCTAGTGATTCGCACTATTCGTAACGCTTTGCAAAATCAAGACCGAGCTTCCTCCAAAGCATAGTTCCAGATATAAAAAAATTATTCTTGTCCACTGTCAACTCAGTTATTTCGCAGCAGACAGGGACGAAACTTGGGCTATTTTAGGTTGACTAGAAAATGTTATACATTTTTTGAGATGAAATTAATGGAATTAGTTTTAGCGCTTCGTTCAAAATGAGCAAAGTTGTCTTTATCAATTGGTGCTGGACCTAATCCACTTGTTGTCGCCAGATCTTCCGCACCACCGCGAGACCACCTTGTTCACAGTATATGTGATATCGAGCATCAATCAAAAACAAAGTCTAAAATGTACTGTTTTTGGAAATGCTTTTTTAGTCACATACTCAGTTACTTGAAAGAGATCGCTTTGAAGTTGCGCAACAGAAGCGGAGTGGGAGTTCTTTTATTCTTCTTTTTTTGGAAGTTCTTAGCACTTGCTGCTGTCTTGAAATGCTATCTTGTTGCTGAATCTATGATTTGGAGTGTTGTGAAGTCGATACTGGGTAGAATTCTACAAATTTGTTTGCCACCACCCGTTTGGCATTTCGTTGTCTTCAGGGGGGGGGGGGGGCAGGCGTTATGGAGCAAAGCTACGCCGCATTCCCCTGCGGTATATCCTGAGGGGCATTTGCGTTGCGTCCCCTTTAATTGCAGCCGCAGGAGTAGCGCTGCCCCTGATAGCGAATCAAGCCGTTCCCTATTACTACAGCCTGATATGTTCAAATAAATAGATGAATCTTAGGGATAAATCAAAGGCTGACTATGGGATGATTCAATGCTGGATTTGGGTTAAAAGAGTTCAAGAGAAGTGAAACACGAGTATTAACAGAGAAAAAGAATAGAGATTTTCCGTCAATGACTTTCCAAGAGAAGATAACTTCCTTATCTTTTACTTTTTCTTGTCTTGCTTTGCAGACACTTCTTCCTCATATTCTATATGAGGAAGAAGTCTTGAAATGCGTTTATCATCCACATTCTGGTGTTTTTATCTATGAAGAATAAGGAGAATGGCTCAATCCGCTGGGTAACGCTAGCTCCTGTGCAACTGTAATTAGGAGCGACGCAACGCAAAGGGTCCTCAGGATATACCGCAGGCGAATGCGGCGTAGCTTTGCTCCATAACGCCACGCCGCCTCTTCAGGGAGTAGTTGGAAGCGCTAACAGCAATAACACCATTTAGTCATGCTATGACATCTGATCCCGACACCAGTGCTGGATGTATCCCCTCTCTGGAACACGCGTAATTGACACTGCACCCATGGGTATAAGACTGGCTATAATTTCAGCGTATTCGTGCATTGAGCAAACCTAAACGAGTGACCGCTAAGAAAGAGACATTACCGGTAACGCGACGACGTACCCAGGTAATTTGCCTGATCTGTGACTATTTTTCTCTTATTTTGGGTTGTTGGGTGATGAGATTGACGGGGCAAGTTGCTGAGCGGGTTCTTTCATGAATTTGCATAATCCGAGTACGTGGCGCCTGGCATGGCACGCAGCTTATCACCCGCACTTCACTTGTATGCTCTCATTTTATCATTCGCAGTAAGGTTTTTATCATCTATTCGTCGGAAAGCTCTCATAGCTGGAGCGTTTTCATCTTTTCTGAACACTTTTCTCCGTTTTTCTCGTCTGTTCTCTTTTCGAGTCAGTTGTTGCTGATATGCACTTGGTGTTGATGCCTTTCTACTCTGCTTCCATTCTTTCAGTAGAATCCGTCTTAAAAAACGTTCGTTCCAGCAACGGATCTCACCTCCCCATAAGGAAGACGACCATACGCCGGAGAAATCGCCGAAGCCCCGTAGAAGAAGAATGGAAAAAGAGGTAGTTTTCATTGTCACATACTCCAGGCTGCCGGGATATTGAAAAAATTGCGACAGTCATTTATAACTATCTCACTTCATACTCGGATGCATATAGGTCCTATGCGACCACTGCAGTGTGAACACAAAAATTGTCAGACAAACCACTCCTCAAACCATTTGATAGTGGGAGCGAGTCTGCAAAATGAGCCACATCTGATCCACTTGATCTGAAGCCAAAATCTATTATGCAATCATACCAATTCAGGTCGATCAAGTGAAAGGTTCCTACATGATTAAGAAATGTAGAGACCTTCCACTTGATCGTCATATAATAGATACATAAGCGCATATGCATACGTATATGCATTTGGTTGATTTCCCTTTACTATTTTAGAAAACAAAAAAGGGGTAACCGAGCGGCAAAATTCGCCTTTCACAGTCCCAGAATCCTTCTATTTTCTTTTTTTTGTTATCAAACTAGACTTCGGAAACAATCGCTTATTTATTCATACTTGCTTTACGTTTTGAAAAAATAGCAAATTTAGCAGAAAAGCCCGAAAAAGGTGAATTTTCGTATTCTTCTAAGTTCATGATTTTAGCAGCGAAAAATTCAGAGCTGGGTAGTTTTTATGTACCAGTACATGATAAACAGTGGTTGGTCTGTAGGATATTAGTGAAAAGAGATTCGTTCTTGAGGATGTAAATTTTCTTATTTTGATTTCCACCTGAACGATTCAGGAGGATGTTTGATGATACTGTAGAGCTTGCCATTGTTTTGGTTGTTTTCTAGAACTTTTCACACATCACGCATTTTTTTATATTCACACCAGTGATAGAATTTGATACGGGCAGGTGTTATAGCAGCAACAAAAGTATCTCATAAAATGATGCTTTTGAAAAATACATAATTTAAGGATGAATATTGCACTCTTTTCGGATAATTATCAAAAATTTCAAGTACATGTCGTTTGACCTAATGACCAGTTTTTTTTGTATGGCAACCAGTCGCTTCGATTTTTCATGTTTGTTTTTGTTTCAAAGAATCACGCTGTAGCGTAATGTCTCACTATAAACAAATCCGAGTCGACAACACCCAAAAAAGTGCCTTATGAGGACATCAAATACCAGTTCGAAAGCGCAGGCCGAAATTCGCCCCGCTTATTTTCATGATTTATGCCATAGTGTATATTTTGGCCCCACTTGCACTTTTACTGGATGTTACCCCTCGGACTGATCCTCATTGAAAGCGAGAAGGGGAAAATAATTTGGTCATTCTAAAAGGGCATGAGGGAGAGTCTATTCGTCTCTGTTTTGTCCCATTTTCTTGAGCGACCTTGCAGGTTTCAAATGCTGTTAGGCTGAGTTTTCCTCAAGTTGCACTCAAATGCAGACAGCGTTTTTTGAGTTTATACCAACTTCGATGTTGTGCAGTGTTTACGTCTTTACCTAATCTTTACCAGCCACCCTCAACTTACTTCTAGGCGCAAACTCCTTCTGAAGCGGGCAGCCATACCTCATCTCAGCATGCGATCTCTACTTCATCTCAGCAAATGGTATGAGATGACATTACACTCGAAAGTGTTGTTTTTCATCTTCGATATCTCACATAGCTCTTGCGTCGAGCAAACAAAAGCGTTTGACAAGAAGCATGTATCAGTGACAAACAAACAGCTTAACTTAATGAGGGTGTAGAGGAGAGAAACATGTTGATACGCTGATAGGAAAGATATAAGGCAACGTTCTGATGCTGGAATAGCTGACTCTGCTCTGTCTTTTACCCAAAATAAAATGCGTAGAAGGAACATTGTTTCTGTAGGGTTTTTTTTGGTGTAGAAAGCTGTACAGAACGAAATTTGAGGCGTCCTAATTTCTAATGTTTCTTATCAGTTATCAATTGTTGAATATATAAAATTGGTAACTTTTTTCTTCATGTTTTTTTAGTGTTCCTCTTTTTTTTTCTTCGTCAGTAGCGAATTTGGATAAAACGAGGTCAAAAGCATTTCGTATCTCCAAAGTTTTTTTAACATTTTTCTTCTTGTCAGCAGCCGTTTGACATGCTTTAAATTTGAATCTCATGTTAATTTTTAATTGTTATTTTTTGAACTTTTCAGTAGTGACAATATGGAGCTTTAGAAAATATGCATAATTTTTCTATGTTTTGATATGTGTTCTGTTTGTGATTTTCGAGAGCACTAAGTGGATTTTGCACAAATTTTTTTGTACAAAACCGTTTTCTGCGCAAAAAAATTAATAACATTTTTGTTAGTATCGGCATGTGTTCCGTAAAAACCAGCTGGAAGAGGTTGTCCTTCTTTAACGCCTAATTTGCGATCCTCCATTGAACAAACATTTTCAGCCTCCTCCACCGCCGAAATTTCCCGTGAAACCTAAGCCACCATCGAAACATCAGCTAATGATGGAAGCTATCAAGGTAAGACACCTTTTTCTGACTTGTTTTTTATGAGGTTGTTGCCAATTTTGCCAGTGAGACTTGTTGATTTTGCATGGATTTTGTCTTGAATCGTTTAAAGGGCGACAGGAGAGCATTAATCTAAAGTTTTCATGATTTTCATGTGGAGATGAATATTTGGCTTGAGTATGCGTCTGTTCGAAATGCGGCCGTCTCAATTTTGACGAGCATTTCGACGGGCTGAAACTCTTGACTGACAGATCTTCACTTTTGCAGTTCGCATGCGAAATTGTCATATCCCTTCCAGCGGAGAACTCCGACTGCTGAGAATATCTGATTGTAAATTTTTCAACGAAAACATCAAAAACTTTGCAAGTCATGTTGTGCACTGGTGCTTTTGCAGCGCAGCGGCGGGGCGATTTACCCAGGTATCGGCGCGGCTCTTTTGTTTGAGAGTTTGTGTAAAGTCATCAAGCAGTAAGAGTACAGACCAAGTACTACCACTCAATCATTCTGCATTCGTTAGCATGCATGGCCGCATCTCACCAATCATGTACGAGAAAATGCGCATTCAGTGGGAAAAAAGAGGCCTAGAAAGGGTCGGGGGAAATATTGGTGAAAGTGTTAGTAGTTGCGTGGGAAGATAAGTGGGATAGGTGATGAGGAATGTGGAAAATGGCCGAGATATGAATTGGCAAAGCTGGGTGCAGGTTGTAAGATAGCCTGCGGTAAACTTGCTTAAAAACTATGCCATTTTGTGCAACAGAAGTTCTGGCATACATACCTCGCGCGATCTTAGACACGCTACGCGATTTGGCAGTTTGCCAGATGTCTCTGAATCCTGCACTCACTGTCGACAAATGCATAATTCATCACTTTTGTGAACTGATAAGCGCTATCTTCGGTACACTCAGAATGCGCTTATGATGAGTTGTAAATAACTGGCATTGCCAAATCGCGTCGCAACTGAAATCGCGTGAAGTATGTCCGAGGCCTAAGCGTTTTTCTGCTATTTCCGTCGCGACGAAATTTGGCAATGCCCCAGTTGTCTACAGCTCGGCGTAGCACGTTCTGAATCTACAGAAGATAGGGCGTTATTGGTCTGCAAAAGTTATGCACACTATGCATTTGTAGTCTGCAAATGTTTCATCTAAGGACATCTGGCAAATTGCCAGACCGCGTCGCGATTGAAACTGCGTGAACTGTGCTCTCTGCCTTGCATGAATGGAGAAAAGAAACAAAGTTTTCCATTCTTCAACTAATTGTAAATGTCTGAACTTTTTTTTGATAATTATTACCATTTTCAGGCCTCCATTGAAGCGGATAAACATAAGCCGAAGAAAGAAATAAAATCTCGAATTTCATTACTGCCACCGCCACGAGCTCCACCTCCACCACACAGCGAGAATGGCACAGGTAATTGCTTTGAAATAACATTTCATTGGCCCATCGACTGACAACGGCACCTGGCTGAACTTCGAAGTATCAGTCTCGTTGCCTAGGTAACCGGGCGCTTTTGTTTCTCACAGGCTAGGTGTGAAAAAGTGCTCTCATTCCTCTTTTTTCACCTGGTTTTTTTGTCTACCTTGGATTGAATGCGATGGACAAATTGGGCAAAATCTTGTCATTCTTGTTTATAACGATCTTTACGACTATTAGGCGGTCCACGTATCAGATCCTATGATTCCCGGAACCCATTTGTTCTGGATGTTTTATTGTTATAATTTGTATCTACCGAAATTTTCCATTTGTTTTGGAGATGAATGTTCTTATGGCTTGGGCAATTTATCATTGCAATGCAAAATGTTTGCTTTCTGGAATTGTGTGCAAGTATTTCACTTTTTCTGTTTGGCAAGAAGTTAGATTTTCACAGCCATGTGAATTGCCGCGTACTTTTTTTCTGACCGATCATATTTCAAGTCTAATTTCCCATCATTGACTTAGCTATTCAAAGTTTTCACTTCTTTTCTTTTCATGTTGCGATCCTCTAGCTACTCTTCTAACGTCTCCGAGACGTTATTGGAGACCTGTCACCTCGTTTCACAGCTTGTAGCAACATCATGAGATGCATCCATTTGGGAATTCCTCATCTCATCGCTCACCAAAACTTTTTTCTATTCCCTCATCCATTTGAAATTCTGCGGCTACACACGCCTGAACGAGCGTCCTTCAAGTTAGCCAGCCAAATACCAGTCATGTCGCCATTGTTTGTGCGTTTTGCGTGGGATTCTGGAAGATGCATAGCTAAGTGAACATCGATCGAGCTTTCGACGTCTTCCGATGCGAGTTTTGCCCATTGCTTGCGTTCTGCTTGCGTTTTGCTATGCGCAAGATTATTTGCTTGTGCCCCCACTTGAGGTGCTGGTCATCTGCTGGCGAGATTGCCGTAGCGTAGCTAACATCTTGCGCTGTTGAGTTCATACTGTATGGTTTTCAATGGCAAAAATAATCTGGTTTTAATTGAATTTCTCAAATTGATATAGTACTAAGCTGGGCCATTCAGTAATTCTGAGAAGTTTCACCCATTTTTCAAAAATTTTAACAGAAGTCAAAAATCGCTTTAGATCTTTGAAGCTAATGCGAAGAGTACCGTATCTCCATCCTACCGCTTCTTTCGAACACATCCCAGAAACCTTTGAGCTCCATGGCATTAGATTATCTCTACGATATTGCTCTTTTCTAGCCATAGCAAAACTAATAAAGTCTCAGAGATTTCTAGTTGTTTTGAGAATTCGTTCCTTTTTTATCTCAGCAGAAAATCAAAGAAGCGATAGGAAAACGCCGAATGTTTGGCGGAGCTATCCCTTGCCTTTACAGCGGCTAGGTTTTCTTTTTGACTCTTCTGACAAGCATTCGAAAATTTGCCGAAGTTTTTCAGACTTTTTGGCCTCGATGGCATTCGAAGATATTGTTACATTTTGGTGGAGATTAGATAGTATGCAAGAAAAGGAAACCAAATAAACACTTTTTCGTTTCTTTGTTAAGCTTCGACATAATTGCTTTCTTTGCATGCGACAGCATAAAAAATATCAAGAACTTGGAGCGTACAAAATTGAATCTCAAATTCCGCAGAGTTTTCCAGAGAATTACGTTATGACGAATTATTTCAGCAAATTCAATTGATGAATTCTTTATTCTGGGTTTTGTAGAGGTTCTTCATCAATGCTTATTGAGATTAGTAACACCATATAGTTTAGTAACTGAGTGAACTGAAGTGTTTATGTGTAGAATATGAAATAGATTTTGAAAAACTTTGAAAAATGCTTTATTAAACACATCCTAGAAATAAACTTGGAACTAAAGATCCCTACTTCCAAGAACCAGGTTCCGAGCACTGAGTCGCAAATGTACGATGTTTGTAGTTGAAATTTCGAGGCTTCCTCGAAAAACCACTTTGTAGAAAGTGAGAGGTTGCTTAGAGTATGCGAAACTACTAGCTTCGAAGGTTTTTTATATGCCGATTGCTCCTTTCAAAAAATCTGAAGCGGAAATCTGGAAACTTTTAGTAGTGTCAATCGAGCTTTTTTTCTTTAGAAGACTCGTTCATCTTACCGCCTTCTAGTTATTCGAAGTTTTTGCCACAGGTACGCTAATTGAAATCGCTTTTCCAGAGAGTCTGCTAGTATTTCAGTTTTTGAGTACTCTAACCACCTTTACCCACTTCCCTTACCTCTTCAGCGCATCCTGCAAGCGCGTCTAGTTATCAACCGTAATTTTTTCGCTTCGTCTTCTCCCATGCTGCTTAGAATAAAAAGGCAGTGTAGTCGTAAACGTTCGAGATTTGAAAGGAGTGCTCGTACTTGTGTGATTAGAAGCATTGAAACCGGTCCATCTGAGGCGCGCCTTTGCGCTGGAAAGGAAATAGAGGAGCAGCGCGAACGAGGCAAATTTTCCATTCCTCACAACGGCCTTCTATTCAGCCGTGCAGATCGTTTATGTTTGTGCTCGAAATGGTGTCCTTTGCTAGTCGTTGCTGGTTTTAAGAGTTTTATAGCGCCGCAAAAAGTGTTTGTGCTAGCAAGAGTATTTGTTGTAAGAATTTTCCCGACGGTTTTCGTACTACACCAGCTTGCCAGGTTTTCCGGTGGTTTTTTCTTGTTTATTCAGTAGATCCTGTAGTTTTGCACACATTTGAATCATGCATCTGCCGGGAAATGTATCATACTGTGTCATCAGTATTATTGGCTTAGCACTTGCAGTAAAAGTTTTTTGTCGACTGTTGGCGGGACTATATCAAATGAACTTGTGCTAAGTAATTTAAAGCTCTGCCGAGGCTGTTGAGAACATCCTTTTTTTCAATGCGAAAAGATTCGCCTCACGACATTACAGGCTTTATATACTTGTCTTCATTGCAATATCTCTCACATTCAAGTCAAATTTCAAAAAAATTCTGCTTGTAGAGGTATGGCTAGACTTGTTTAGTCTAATGTATATAATTTTTTTTAAAAAATCATGAAACGAAACTTCTTGAATGCGGTTAACCTCAGTTGGTTAAACGAGATGTTTCGACTTCTTTTATTTAGGGAATTGTGGATTTGCTGTTTAGTTGAGCGTTCGCTTTGAGATTTTGAGATTATTTTTGGCATTGATACTGTAAGATAGCCAAGAACCATGGTTTCCTTCTATTAGGTCGTAATATAAGTTTTTCATTTTCATTCTCTTCTGAGAAACTCTAGACACTTCGACAAAGTCTATTATTTGACACACATATGAGCAGTGGACATAGGGGTATCTTTTTGCATCATTTCCACTTTTACAGGTATGGGTTACAGTAGATATAAAGGCAATTTTGCGTCGGAACCAAATCTCTATCTTTTTCTTTTGCCTTCAAAAATTCTCTCATTCTCATTTTTATGCTCTCAGATTCTTGTTGGATTCCTAGGAACATCAGTACTAATATGAGGGAATCTAAGTTGTTCAATAACGCAGGTTGGAATTTCGCCAAAAATAATTCCGAAAAATTTGAAAAAAATGGGTCGAAATTGAAGTTTTCACATATGGTATGTACATATATAAAAGTTGCAACCCTCCATTCAATTTGGAGATGAGAAAAATTTTTGGACTTCAAGTATAACCAAACTTATGTTACAACCTACTTGTTACATCCCAAAAGTATAGTTTGACATAGATAAAAAGCGATAACACAAGTTACGTATTAACCCTTTGGAATATTATGTGCTGCGTTGAATGACACAAAAATTGAACATGGTATTGCATAAAAATATGCCCATCGCATCGGCTTTTTGAGTACGCATAGCTTCTGCATTTCCGTTGTGGAAATCTCTAATTAGCTCAAATGATCACTGATGTTTACAAAAAGGCAGGCTTAAATTGTAGTGTTTGACTTGCACTTGACCATGCTCATTTGCTTGTTCTCAAATTTTGTAACTTGCGGCTGGGGCACAGTTTTTTCCAAACCTTCATCAATGTTCCAAAACTTTCATACTCTACAGCCTGAGTGATCTAAGTCTTCCAATCACCGTGCAATTTGGCAAAACGCCCATTTGTAACTCGATGTGCCCACTAATCTTGAGTGCATAGCACTTGAAGTGTTTGCCTGAGAATACAGAAGCGGTTCGAGCAAGGCACTCAAAAAGTGCACGCTATGGATCTGTCAACAGCTGGCAGATTGCCAAAATCTGTGGCAACCAGCTTATATTATGCCCTAGGTTGGCAATGGTTACCTTCTATATAGCTCGTTCAATGATGTGTGTTTGTTGTCCCTTAGGGCCTCTTCATTCACGTCTACTCTCACAAACATCTCTCAATCCTCTTATGGCATTGTAATGGCTCAGAATGTTGATCGTGTCTCTTCCGATCATGGGTCACTTTCCGCTTTTATGCATTGCTCATTCTTGCGGAAAGCGATTTATAGGAAGCTATGGCTAGTTGGAAACTTCAAGGTCGTTTAGGAACGAAAATGAGTAGAAAGTTTTGCATTTTGGCTTCTTTGTCCTTATAAGAAAGTTCCAGTTTGGGAATTTTTTTTTTTCATATTAACTTTCATGCACAATTCTGGTTTTCGACATCAGGCACCCTTATCCCATTTGCAATATTTAAAAAAAAATGATTCTGCTCATTCTGTTCTTGACCATAGAACGGCAATTTACATCGAATTGAGCGAATCTACTCTACTAAAGCTTCTATAATGGCATCGTACCACGCTGGAAATGAGAAAATGCATTTGCTGGCATAATATCTGGGTTCAGACCGTTCTTTTCGTTCAGGTTATCTTTGCTTTTGAGAAATTCTCTCTATTCTATCAGTTCCCTATAAACAAGGCTGAATCGCTAGTCTCTCTTGGTGGTTGGCTTCACCTACTTTTCCTGTTCAAATGTGAAGAAGCTCATGCCTATCTCTTGAAACTTAGTTCGTTTTACAAGTGATACTGGTCATTACGCCACAAATCATCATTTAATAGAACATTTTAGACGAAAAAATGTCGGAAACCCCAAAGCGAGTTACCAAACATCCTTTGAAGAGTGTGAACGCTATGCCACCAAAGCCAGCGGAACCGCGACCAAAAAAGGAACGTAAACCGCTTTATGTGCCTCCACCTCCGAAAGGTATGTGAGGTTTTTGAGCGTTGAGTAATAGTCATTTTCCAAGCTTGAAATGGAGAGTGTTTTTTTTCTTCTTGAAGGCTGGAGGGAGAGACAGAGTCTTCAAAATTTATTTCCTAAATGACTGATATATTTACAGAGCGTAAAGAAGTGAAGACATCGACACCAAATGTGAAAGCAACCGAAAAGCACATTGAGACTCCGAATGTCTCTAGGATTGAGGATACACCAGCTCGTCTTGGAAAAAGTACGTAATAGATACTTTGGGTAATGTCGCTATGCATCACGCATCCAGTTTCACTAGGCAAAAGTGATCCTATATGTTTTTTTTTTGGAGAATCTGCTTTGCTTGATGTTGCTGAACTAGGAAACCAAGCTTCTGTGCGTCTGCGAAGTGACAGATTTTTACAGTCTCTGAAACTGAATAGCAGTCTTTCTAGGCAAACCGCAGTTCCCAACGTCGTCATTTGCAGGTGGAAGGCCGATGGTAAAAACGCGGCATAGCTCTACGAAGCTGAATGGTACAGCAGCACCCACAGAGATCTGTGGGTTTTTATATCTCTGTACTTTGTAGTGAATTTATATTCATGATGTGATGTATAGCTATTGATTTCTAGCAAATACCGAAAAATTGCAACGACTGCGATTCGCCACCCGAGCTTTTGATGCGATTTGTATACTTATCGCTAAGTCAGAAGCGGAACGTGAACGAACGCGGCGAGAACTGGAGGAAGCGAATGAGAAAATTGGTAAATAATTCATTGTACCTTATTCGCTTAGTTTATGTTTGATGCCGGATCTTCATGTGTTTGAAGGTTTGGCAAAGTTCGGTTGTACAAAGCAAAAGGGATTTTTGCACCTTTATGACTATCTATCCTTTGCATTTCATGTTTGAGTAATGTAAGGGCAGCGAAACGTTGGAGTTATTTACCGAGAAAACATGTCCTAAGTATAGCAAAGAAAAAATTCTGAATCAGCTGGTATGAACTGTAGGTAGTGCTCGGCAATCGGACCGTTACGAAGGGAATGGTCTTGGACGTTTTGGAAATTTACGATTCTGGTTCTGACATCAGCAGCAGCCATTCCACTGGAGCGCGGTTATTTGTTCGGAATTTTATGCTAATTGGGTTCTGCAAAGTGGAAATTCTTGATAATTCCATTGCTATTTAGATACTGGAGCATAAAATTATGGGAAACTTAAATTCATTTGAATTGTTTAGTCGTGTAGAAAAGAAATCGTTACGAATTTCGCACGCTTTACAAGATGTATGTAAGTACGTATTTAAACGAATTAGACTTCAGAATTTTATGTCCTACAGTATCTAAACAGCAGTGAATTATTAAGAACCTCACTATGCAGAACCCGAATAAGTATGAAATTTCGATGTACATTTGGGATCCAATCATAAAATTCATTATAATTGGATTTAACTTTCCGGGATTTTTTTTTAAAGCGTGTAAAAACTTGATACACATCCTAAAATCTCTCTCACCCAGCGTCGCGTCCTCCATTCAAAATTTGTTTTTATCTGTTTATCGAGCCAAAGAAATTCTGGGACTGCTTTGACCTGATAGTAGTAGTTTTTACAGTTGATTCGTGGAAACATTTCGTACAAATATGCATATGAAGCCTAGATTGTCCAGTATCTTTTGAATGGCGTAAGAAGTACTTCCTGACCTTGCTTCTCCTTCTATCCTCTCGAATATTGGCTCGATAGTCATAATCTAATTTTATGTCATGCGTTTTGACTCTTAGATGAGGATTGAAGTTGCAGGAAAAGTCTCTTGTTTTTGCAGTTTATTTCCTCAGTGAATGGGCGATCCTCCTTTACCTCACTTGTGCTAATTTTCTCGTAGCAAGTGTGTTGACTTCGTACATTCAGTGTAACGTAGATTTTGTCACTTGTGTAGTGCATTAGCACTAAAAACGTGAAAATCTACCAGCAGCCAATTTTCAAGTATCGTTTTGACCGATTTTAGGCCAATAAACCCATGTACCAAGCAATTGAACTTTGATAAATGTGTGTGATTTTACAGCTCGACAAACAGAAATCCTCGAAGATTTGCGGTCATGTCTGGGTCAACGCGAAAAATTACATCACGACGATTTGGAGCGACATAAAAATCACAACGAACAAGGTAATTCGTTTGGACACATTTTGCAGAAAATGGGTACGCGGCAGCGCTTTGAGAGATATTTTTGGAAAGATCTGATTCAGACTGCAAAAAATGACCTTTTTCCCATCTAAATAGGTGTAGAGCTACGGTAAAATTACGGTAGGCGACCATGATCCAAATCAGGAGTGCAGCAAAGAAATCATTATACGGCCGACTTTCACGGCCTCCTCCACCCCCCCCCCTTCCTTCCATTTCTCTCTCCTCCGGTTTCTTTTCTCTTCATGCCCGGTTTCTCCCCTCACATTGTGACTTTTTGAATAACACCCCATAAGATTATCACCTTTCGAATGCAAGGTCATAATTTCTGATGTAAAGTGGCAGGAGCGTAATAACATTGTCTTTTAGAAAAAACTTTGCATTATAGACATTAAATGAGGCGTGTAAATCGTCTGCATGATTAGTAAGAAGTTTTTGGGTTAAGCTCAAGTATGCGAGTGTCGTATAGGTACCTGTTTAGTGATGGGATTTTTTGAATTGTCATTTCGCATCTGTTTTTTGCACCAGAAAATGAAGGAGTCGTAAAAAAATTTTTCTGAACGTTTCAATTTTGTGTCGTAATTCATCTATGGATTTTTGTAACCTTTGGGAGTATCATGTCTCAACATTTTGAACATTTTGCATTAGCTTTGCATACAAAAAAGGGCACACCGAACAAATTTTTCCTAAATATCTTTTTTTTTAACATTTCGTAATTTAACTATGGAATTTTGTGGTTTATGAAAGTATCGTTTCTTAACTGCACTAGTTTCTACACCCGAAAATGGCTAAAGACTGTGATTTTGGCCTTTCGTGATTTTCTTAAAATTATCGCTTCCTATTGTTTTCGTTATTTTTTGCGCATGAAAAAATGTGTGAAGGTGTGCAGATTCTTTTAGAATATCTCTTTCTGAAGTCAAATTACGTCTAATTCACCCATGGACTTTTGTGAGTTTTGCGATATTTTTAAAGAAATTAAGTAGCGGATTTGTTACTTCCATGAACCACTCGAAGGAAAATATTTGACAAAAGTTCACAAATTATGAAGTTGTTAGAGTGGTTCTCTCCAATTTTAAGAAAGTTTTCCAAAATTTTCTTACTTGCTTCTTGTTTTGCTCTAAAATTGGGGATTAGCCCTTCAGAATTTTCAGCCTATAGATAACTTGGTGCGTGAAGACTGACCTATAGATAATAGGTCAGTCTTCACGCACCAAGTTCCTGCGAGTCTTGCACTCTTCGAAGATCTGCAAAAAAATCGTTGAAATCCTGATTCTGAAAGTGTCGAAGTAGGCGGAGTAGTGATGCGCGCGCTCCGCCCCCTCCTTCCACTCCCCATCGTTTTCGATCAGATTTTGAAGCGCTTATCTACCGCACGTCATCGAAATCGGAGACAATACGACGAGAGCGCAGCAGCATATGTGTATCCGGGACAGTGCCTAAAGCTAACCTGTCATTGGCCATAGCTACCCCTCTCTTCCTATGCTTAACCGGATCATTTCGGTTAACGTGCGCTGAGTTCTACCGAGTTCTACTTTCTTGTCTCCCTGCTCCTCCCTTCCCCCCTTTCCCCAGCTAAAACTGATCTACAATTGAAAAATTGGTAAATGGCGCCAAGTGTAGTCCATCAACGTCCGCTGCTATTCTCCATTGTTAGCTCCTCGTTAGTCGTCTGTGCCCTATGTGCCCTAGTGGATTGTGAGGGCCGACGAAGATTTCCTATAAATATCTGTATACTCTCAGCTGGATTTGTACCAGTTATAGCAATTATCGTTACAGTGGCCAGATCTCATGCTGACACTGTCGAACGACTCAAGGAACGTTATGAAGCGCAGGTGGGTGCATTATTCTGTTTTTAGAGTTTCTTCGTATTTTTTGGAATGTAAAGGTTGGCTTAAGCTTTAGCATCTGCCTCAATTTTGATAAATCAATTTTCTGAGAAATGTTCTGGGCTGAGAAGTGTTCTTTTTGAACTCTTTGACTTTTATGTTTTTATAAAAATCGTATTCAAATTCACCTATGTTTTTGAAATGCTTATGCGCACATTGTATACTTCGCAACTAGCAAGTTATGTCTAACTAATCGCGCCAAATCCCCATAAAATTATCTATTCTATTTTTTGTCCCGCCCGTCACCTCTTAATGGTACTGCCCGCAATCTACTACACGTGCTAATCAACACTTCGTGGAACGGAAAATTTTTTGCTAGAAATATTTTTGTAACAAAAGTATTCGTAGATCATAACAATATTTCGTCTTTCACTCTTTGTCCATCATTTGTTCTTAGAATTTTTAAACCCACTGTAGAGTTATTCCAATTGGAGTGAAGATTTTCGGTAAAATGAATTAACTAGAGTATTTTACTTTTTTGGTTAATTTTTTTGTCTTTTGCAATATTCTTTTGCTTTCATCTTTGAGATTTCGGTTTCATGGGAATTACAAGTGGTCATACACTTGTCCACATGTAGAGGATTTACCATTAGTTCATTAATCGCTTATAGTTATGATACTTCAAAATCGTGTCTGTACTCAATAAAGATTGTCTCGTAAAATGCTTAGGGTCGTCATACGAAAAAAAAATTATCGAATTGAGTAGGATACTAATTGTCTTTTTGTCAAAACGTAGTAGACTGACAGGAAATCACCATTTTTTGGTTCCGCCCTTTGCTGGAACGGTTAGCAATTTTATGGCTTTGATAGATCTCAATCCATCATCAATCACGCTACTTTACGAGCGATTATAAATTTGTGGGTTACTGTACCAGCTGTGGTGATAGTCGATGAAGCGAAATTCATTCAATGCTTTGAATAGATTTTTTTTCGACTTCCATGACGCAGCTCTACGTAGTGCCATTATAGACTCACGATATGAAGTTTGATTGTTTGTATAGGCAGAAAATGACCCATGAAACTCACTAGGCGTCAACTTTTACGACTTTTGGGATGATTTTTGGACCATATAAAAGTTGTGGAAATCATAGATGCTGAAAGAAATAACGAAGTCAAATCATCGCATTTTTAGTTGGCTGAAAAAGCAAAGGAGAATGACAGAGCTCTAGAAGATGAAAGAACCAGACATGAAGCCGAGCTGGAAGCGATGAGCCGGAGACATCAAAAGGTAGGAGAAGTGCGCAGCCGTCTGTTTCAATAGCCCATTCACATCTTATAGGTTGTCATTTCTTTGGACGAGAAAATTGCCGAAGGAGAAAAGATGGTCGAGAAATTGACAGCCGATAAGAAAGCGCTTCAAATTGCTCTGGCAAATGACAGCGACCAGCGTAATCAGGTTTGTTGAGTAAATCTATTGTTGTTTTCAATTAGGTTTGGGATCTGGATTATTAAGCAGTCCTGTTGCAAAGTTTATACTTTGAAAAATTTTGTTGGGTTTTGAGTGAGGGTGGTCAAAAAACGACGTCGATATGTATAATTTTTTTTCGTTTTTTGTCTGCAAACTGTTTCTCAACTTGCAGCAGATCGAAAGTTTAGATTTACTTGACAAGGGATTGATGATTGAATCTGAATTATTTTGTTTGAATCTGTTCGATTCACATGAAATCAGATTGATTTTCCGTTTTTTTTTCTGTATTTTTGCGCTATTTTTGTACTTCCTAAAAATAGATACTCCATGTAGGTTCTCCCGCAAACGTCCATCTATCTTCTTGCAAAGTTGAAAAGTGGGACTGGACAATCAGATGTGAACAACTTTTGTCATGAACCGCAAAGACGACACACATAAATCTTAATGTCAGCAGTTTTCGAGCCACACTTTTTAGAACATGAAAAAAAACTGGAACATCTCACAACCCTATTTCAAAACAAAGCTTCGCAGCAGAGTGGACTTTTGTGTGCAGAAGCCTTAGGAAAGTAGAAGCCAAAAATGTCGAAGCTTTCTATTCCCTTTTGGGATGGTTTTTCATATTATCCAGGACAAAATGTCGCTCAAATGCGTGTTGGTCTGATGTATGTATATTGCCAGCTCAGTCATTGTTTGCCAAGAGTTGAATGATGGTAATCATTCGCCATTGTCAATATTGATCTTTTTTACCAAAAGAGCTAAAGGGGCTAATCCAGCGTGATGTTGTAAGAATATGACGATAGCTTGAAGGTAAAAGGGTTTATCGTATATGTTCAGATGCTTACCAAGGAGATCAACTCGTTACAAACAGCTTTGGAGTTCAAAAGTAGCGAAATGAAAGATCTACGACAGAAGTATCAACAGGTAAACGAACTTCGAGTGATTTTGATTTTTGCGGGAATTTTTTCTGTATTATTTTCAATACTAGTTTTTATCTCATTTTTATTATTTAATCCTCCTTAAAGCAACGTACTTTTGTAGGTGGCGTTGCGTGTAGAAGAGATCCCGATAAAAGAACTTGAGATCACAAAACTCAAACACAAAGTCATTGAGCTGAAGCAAGCCCTAGATCAGAAGCTGAGCTATGAAAAGTAAGTTCAAAAGGTTTGTGCGGCTTTTTCAACTTTCAGGAATAGGCTGAAACTTTCATGTATCATTGCAAGTTCTTTTGTTTCTTTTGTTACATCGATTCACGATTATAATCGCAGCTGTAGTCGCTGCGTAACCGCGACACACTAGCTGGCTGATGAATATCTTGTAAGCGACCATTTTCTCGAAGAGAAATCGGGTCATGTAAAAAGTGTCCGCGAGGACTTGCTAATAACGCTATTTTAGGATACTAGTCCATCAGAATGAAGAACTCAAGCGACAACAATTGGCAATTGAGGAAGAACGTGAAAGCATGCAACGAAGCTTTGATGTGATGGTTTATCGCTATGAAACTGGTGATGAACTTGATCAAAGCATTGGTTCTCAGAAACAGAAACAAACTCCGTGAGGAATTGTTTTGAATTTTCTTCTTTTTGCTTTTTTATGCGTATACTTGCTAATTCCAGAGCGAAAGTGCAGTTCCGTTCACGATCGAGCAATTCGGATCGGCCACAAAGCGCGAGACTATCTCAGATCTCCTGTAAGTTCGTGTAACTTATCGTGATTTTGATCTTTTTGTCATCTGCATTGGAGCATTTGTAAGCTCAGATGATTTGGTTTTTTTATAGTAGCGGCAGACTATAGGCTTACCCTCTGTCTCAATGACATTGTCGCCGGCTCGCGCGGCTCTCGCAGCTGCCTAGCTTGGACCTTGCATCGTGTCGGCGTATCCCCTAAATATCTTCCCACTACCGCCAGCACCTCAACGTTTGCTTAGGCGTGTGAAAATGCCTACAGAATTCGAAATAAACGCGGCACAGGTTCCAAGCGCGGCTGCGCGGTACTCGAGCCGCACATGTCAGCGACACTATCATTGAGACAGAGGGTATATCGCGTAAATGTACTTTTTTGTGCACAAGTTCTCGACCCTTCAAATTTTTCCATGTTTTCATTTTTTCCACTGGGAATTGATTTTGTTCTTTATTGTCCTGGAAATTGCTTTTGCTCTCTATTGTCAAAATTCCTCATTCTAGGTGATATGGACCGATCAGCAGATCGTGATTCGTTAATTCGATCTACCGTATCCATGTACGCGTCCCAAGTTCAACTCCCAGATAATCACGCCGACGATGTTATCTACGCGCCAGATGAGATAATTACCAGTAGTGGTGAGTTAATTGTTGCTTACGGTAGCGCAGGCTCGTACAAAATCTTGCAGTTGTTTACAACAATCGTGCTCCGACCTCATCGTACTGCTCCAGAGATGACGTTGAACGGAGTGTGAACGGGTCAGTGATTAATATCTTTTATTGCAGTTTAATCGTTAACAGGATTTGAAAGCTCATTTAGTTGGACTTGATGACAATTTCTGTTTGTCTGTTTTTTTTCTGTTGTTTCATCTGAATATTGATTTTTTCAGGAATCTCCATATGCAAGCGGATTCCGGCATAGGATTATGATGTGCGTCATACGTGTCATTTGATCTCAGTATTCTTTAAATGCCGACTAACTCTTCAGTACTTGTTTGTTTGTTTGTTTGTTTTTACTCAAATTTGCATTGATCTACTCGATCATTACCTGCAACAGCCATGTTCATGATGAAATGACAATTATTGTTGGTTTTTACCATGCCGTCTAGCCTTTTATATCTTAAGCGCGCTTTGTGTGCTTTCCTCTGCTCTTTAGGAAGAAACCACTGATTTGCTTCGTAGAGAAACTTCTCGTTTGCGCCTCTCACTACCAGCACAGCCTATTCTACCTATTCTCTCTCCCCAGTGTGCGCGTGTTGTCATTTCGTTTTGTTTTCTTTCTCTAGCATTTGACAGAATGATTTGTGACAAATCGTTTACATTGAATTTGTAAATAAAATTTGCTTTTTGTGTTGAGCCAGCGTTATTAGCCTTTTTTCCCAGGAGAGGACTTTAGCGCAGATTTCCTGGCAGTTTTTATAAGGCCGTACAGAGTTGATGATTTGAATTGCAATATTTTTTTTTTGACAGTTGGTATCACGAGACTGGACCATACTAATTGCTGTGTTGTGCTGACCAGTTATAAGTGTTAGTAATGGCAAACCGTGAATAGTAATGGAGTTGGCCAGCAAGTACGAGATTTGAATTGTCATCTAATATCATTAACAGGAAAAACCGATAATTGTCCGTCCGATCCCCCAATTACCAAAATATCCTCTCTTTTTGACCAGCCAATAAAATTCATCTGGAAAACTTGATAAATGATGGTCAATTAGTCAAGCCTAGACCGTTCTATCGAAGAAAAATCAGCGATGAATGTATTTGTAGCGGATAAGATTGTTTTTATATTTATAAAATGTTTAATGAGGACAGAACTGAGTACTGAAAAGGCTATCGTTATTTCCTCTTTTGTCTTGACTGTTTTGAACATCATTCATTGATCTTGTGAATAGAAACGTTATTATGAATAGTAAGCAGCTATTTTTGTTGAATTATACTTAAAAATCAGTGGTGTAGCCAGGGTTTCCGTTCGGGGCATACCTCTAGAAGAAAATTTCTGGTATGTTCCCCTATTTTCTGGGCCCATAGCCCCGAAATTTCAGAAAAATGCGGAAGCCATGCCCTCGAAAAAAGGTATATAAGGCTAAATTGATCTAGAAAATTTCAAAAATATTTCAGTTATTTACAAGTTTAAAAGCATTTGTACATAGAACCCTGCAAGTACCTTTCAAAAATTTCAAGGGGGCGGTGTCCCCCCCCCCCCTCCCCCCTCCTCGGTACGGATATGTTGGAGTCTTTTTTGCACCAGAAGAGAAAGGTCGAACGAAAAGTGTCGTCAAGAACGGGGTGGAAAATGGAGTCGTAAATCAGTAAAATGAACTAAAAATAATTGCCTATGCTTGTACCTATCGGCGCTCAAAAAGAGAAGAAATCGATAAGAAGTTTTTAAAAATCACCAACTTGTGATCATATTTACCGCGGAATAGCGCATTGTGCAATACATACAAACTTATAAATCACGCGACTATAGATTTTCCCATAAAATCACGCGCAGGTGTTACCATAGTCGCAACTGTTTTCATGTCGAACTCTTCCCATCCAATTTGTGCGCTCATTGTTTATTGTAATTGTGGGACCGCCAATAGCCTAATGTATGGTGACCACCGTAGTGGGAAAGGAGGCAATTCTTCACATTCGAGAATTTGGTTATTTGCTATGATCGATTTGTAAAGATAAGGCAATGTAATGGTGAAAGTAATTTAAGATTTGCAGAGCACGAAAATGGTGCAACTGTTAGATTTTTTTGGACTTGAAATGCTTATTTCGAGCAAACTAGCCAAGAAAAGCTTGCGTGCCAGCAGGAGAAATTTCCTTTCTATTCATCATTAGATTCTTCTCGATTTTTTCGATGGAAGTATTACAGAAATGAATTGATTTCGAAAATCCCGATTTATTTTCAAAGCATGTTATTTTGATCATAATGATAGTAGACCCATGGTTGACAATTGCTGTGGAATCTTTCAAGACTTTTTGAAGGACATTACCGTACCACCTTGCCCATGGACTCCATGATGTCATCCTAGATAAGTAGTGCGTTACAGAACTGGTCTAAGTGGTCCTTGACTCTGGCAAATCCTGGCTTGCCCATAGTTTATGACTGCTTTTATCCTCTCGACCTTCATTTCCGCTTGTCACCTTGTAAATGCGCATAACAGCTCGTCAAGTAGATAATTTCTTTTCATTACTGGGTTCCTTGAGTGTTTTGAGCACAAAATGGATGAGTACTTCAGTTTTGTGGATTATCTGTTGAGGTCTGGAAAAGATATTATGTGGGTTTGGAGGAATTTGTACAAAAGGCATGATGATGATTTTGATTTTTTTTGTTTTTTCGCGGAGAAGTAAGTGTGAAACTGTCTTTTGGTGTGTGAATATTTAGGGATGAAAATAAACGGAAAAGAATGAGAGTAAGTGAAAGATGCAGATTTTTTTAAACGAAGCATCTGCATTGGACAAAAGGCTGCTGCCTATAAAATGTCTTTTGTTTTGTGAAACATTTACTTGCAAGGAATAAATTGTGTAACTTAATGTGTGAGATTGCACACATGCGACACTTCACGGCCTGTGGACTAATATCAGTCAAAAAAAAACTATTTACATTTACTTAAACCCATTTAAATTCAAAAGGTAGAGTGAGTGTGAGGATGAACTGGCAACTTGCGAATTAGGCGTCGAATACCGCGCGTATAGTGTGATATATACATTAGGCTAGAAATAGCTCAGCGGTACCTTTATCATTAACCAAACTGAAGGGTGGAAATGGTTGCCACTCATGTTTAGGAATTTCCTCCTTGGGAAAACTCTCGCATCCCATGGGAAAAAGTGGAAAATTCTCTCACTTGCGCGAAATTTTCGCCTCACTCCTGAATCTCCTTCCAGCTCAATTCACCCCGTATATCGTCGAGTCATTCGTAACTTAATATGCGTAGTGCACACCAAACACGTTAACTGACGAACAGCAAGATTAGAGCCTGCTCTTTTCTAGTGATTTATGATTGTTTCCTTGTCTCTTTTGTTTTTGTTGATTACATATTAGTCAGTAGAACTCAAGTCAACACTTTATTGGGCTAAAAAATGTTTCACTGGAAAGTTACCAGCAAGAGTGCCGTCGCTAACAGGGCTTAGTGTGCAATCTCACATATTAAGTTACAGATGACTCGAGGTTAAGTGTTTTCAAGCACACTCCACTAGCTCACTGGCATTGAACCAGCCGTCATGACCTCATCGTCGGTACGCTTTTGTAATGGATGATCCTAATCCTTAGCGAAAACCTTTTCATTAGCGGCGTAACGCAAACACCTGCTGACGCAATCGCCGCAATACGGTACGCTGCTGCGTTTACCGAACGCGACCACCTAGTGGGAAGTCAAATCCTTTTGAAGCTAGGCTTTGGGTGATTGACAGGTATGTGATTAGTTTATTCTCCAAAATGTCCTCGTTCTTCGTTTCTTTTCTCATTCATCCATTTATTTGTTTTTTTTTCATTCATATTTTTTGATGTTATTTTTTCGATTTTATTATCAGATTTCTCCTTCACTCCTTATTCATCTGCTTTTTCATTTACCAATTTTACTTCAAGCTTTGATAGTATGAAAGGCGAAAGAGAGGATCTGGTAATAGAAAGATACGGTACTTCTCAATTCAGAAGTCTTTTTGTGTAAATGCAGTATGCTATTGCAGTTTGAAAAGGATCAAAGCTTTATAGTCGTTTGTGTCAATTTTCATACTTTTTATAATGTCAAAGAATTATAATAGTGAGTCTAGCGCATTCGTCCTATCCTGCAGATTAAAAAAGTGGTGCAATCACACAAAACGGCTGTTTGAATGAGAACGACTTCAGAGGAGCTAGAGCTCGAACAAGGACTATAATTATGGAGAAAACACTTTTTTGAATGACAAATTACCAGGAAATCTCTGTTTCTCCCCTTCCTTATGTTCTTTCTCCTTTTCGAAAGTGTCGCTACTCAGATTTAGTTTATGAAAATGAAAATTACCTACGGAAGCATGCGAGGCGTGGAATTTCTTGTAACAGAATTATTTGCAGTGACTGTCATGTATTTAGCCCAATTTTGAAAGAACAATCTGAGAAGCAAGGTACCTAAAATGTATCGTACAACTAGAAGGTTGTCCTTAATGTCACAAGATCTCAATCATTTAAAAAAAGTGAAGCGTTTCAGGAACAACATTCAAAAGTTAAACAGTTCAAGGGAAACCAATAACAAGAGCACTTGGTAAAGAAAAATCGACTTGATTCAAAGAGATTTATATTCTCGATTTTGCAGAAGGAAGAAGGCAAAGTTCAAAAACAGCAATTTTTTTTTAGAAAAAATGTTATTCTTGCGAGAAATCATCATTTTGACATCTGAAACTCCAACAAAAAAAATATAAGTGATGTCTATGTCCTCATTTCCACCAGAGTGACCAGGCTGTCGGCTTATAGTCAGCGCCAAACAGCAGGACAGTATACGATGTCGGGCATAAATCCTTTCTGTAAATCCACTGCCGACACCTAACGTAGTGTCTTAGTGCGCTAAGACGTGTGCGCCGAGACTGCATCTAATTAATCGCATTCATCAAATACAAAGCTTTCGGCTCCTTTGATTCCAGAGGGTCAGTCGACTCGACTTATTGACGGCACTCCTCACATATGCTAATGCATGAATCTCGAAGATCTGGGATTGGAGGCAATTTTTGGGGAATTTTATTTTTATTTTATTTTAGTTTACACTCACGGTGCACCAAAGAACAAAAAAATAAAACTCTAACACTCGAACAATAACATGATAACAGTCCATGGCTTCAGGGAGATAAACGATGGACGTATAAGCAATCCACTAACCTAAGGCCCTTTAAGATATAGCGAAATCTGTTTCAAATGCCTGATGAGTGTAAATATGGCTTGTGAAACAAAGAATGACTGGAGAGTATTGCATCCTCCAAAATTATTCTGAAAACCCCTTTTTGAGTGCCAGCGAGCTTACGGGCGGAAACTAGCTGACAGACCCCAGATGAGTATACCTTTTGGAGGATAGCAAGAATTTCTGCATTTTGCAGCAGAAATTGTTCTTTATAGAAATGGTGCAAAGTTGTGGTTAGGATCAGCATTTAGTGCAATTTGACTGAAAAGCGAAATCAGTCGGAAAGAAAGGAGAGGGAGGAGGAATAGTGTCGGAAAAATCGGAGTACAATCTAATTGAAATTTACACATTCTATTTGCTCAAAGAGACTACAAATCACCCTACATAGCCCCCCCCCCTACATTTGGTAGATAACGGGTTAGTTTAAAAGCCTGGGTCTTTTCTACTCTTCGAATTCTAGTAGTTTTTTGCAAAACCGCAGAAGGATATGACCTTCCTTGCATCATTCAAAAGCGACTCATGAAAATTGTTTCTAAGAAAGCATTTTTTAAAGTTTTCTTTGTTTCTGATGCTCGACTTAGCATTACACAACACCGCTCAACGGCCTTTTCCTATCAAGCCCTACAACCTGTGCATCTTCAACTTTTATAAATATTTGAAATATTTTATATTTTAAATATTTTATATTTTTATTTTTTATATTTTATATTTTTCCCCTCAGGAACTTATGTCCGACATGCCTTAGCTTTTCTTTTCATAATCAAATTTTTTCAGCTTAATATCCTAGCAAACTTTATTTACAGGTTGTAGAATGGCCGAAAGCCAAAAAATCGTTATGTAGTTCTTTTTTAGGTATAATCGTTTATGGCTACTATCATGCATTAAAGAGTTAAGCTGGTAGTGAAACAAGAGCTTCAAGCTGCAATTATGTTTTGCACAAAACACAAATCTCTTCCAAAAAAATTTTCGGACTGATTTTGTTGCTATGGTATTCTGTTTCACATGTTGAAGTTCTCTTCCCATAAATAACCTTCTCGACACCCTATTATCTTTGTCACGGCAATTGCGTCACCGTACTACACACAGTAATTTCCGGCGCGCCGCCCGTTACCGTAACCGCCCAATGGGCGGGTTCACGCGCCGCGCGTTCGCGCATATAAGAACGGCCCGAGAGCATATGGTGGCTGACAGTTGGTAGCGGAACTCAGTTCAGCTCGGCATTTCCTGTTCTTCTGTTTACCGAGCAAGCTCCACATTACTTCTGTCTACTTTAATTTTGCTTCTTCTCTAAGTTTGCATAATCGATTTTCCGTAGAAAACTTTTACTATTATATCAGGAAAGAATTTCAGTTTGTTATGTTGCAGTTATTACAATGGTAGCTGCTGATGAAAATCTGAAAAAGAAACATCGCCGAATGAAAGCCAACTGCCGTGAACGTCAACGTATGCATGGCCTGAATGATGCTTTGGATATTTTGAGACAGGTAAGAATTTCCCTTAATTTCAAAAAATGATCTGCCAAATAAATAGTTTGATAGTTTTATTTTGCAATATAGCATTAAGTTTGATATGTAATTTGTTTTTCTGTCATTCTTTGTTCTTCAGAAGTTCTGTTTTTGATTTTGTGAGAAAACGTTTCTTTCACAAATAGTGACAACAACCCTAATATCGCTATAATTGGAAAGTGTTGTAATCCTTCCAGTCCTAACTTAAGTGTTTTCAGTACGTACCAATTACAACTCAACATCAGAAATTAAGCAAGATTGAGACGCTGCGTTTGGCAAGGTAAGGATATTTTTCATCCGAGATTAACTGTAGTCCAAGGCTACCTATAGACTTGTGGTGTGCCGTCGCCGTGCCAGCGCTGTGTCACTGCGTGCCGGAGCTCATATGGATGGTCTGCGTATCGATCGACAATCTCGCTGACACAGTTCCGGCATGGCGCTAGTATGATGCTGGGACGGCGCTGGCACGGGCAATTCTGGGGAATGCTTAGGAGTTTTTTCAAAATTTTTAAGAAATCTATTACTATCAGCTCCTCTCGTAAATTCTAATTTTTTTCAGAAATTACATCTACGCTTTGAAGCGTATGCTCCATACTGGACATCAACCAACTCCGCTTGAATATGCCCATCAACTTTCCGTTGGATTGAGTCAAACCACAACAAATATGCTGGCTACCCTCTTACAGGTAAGGTTTACCGTAGTCTTATTTATACTTTTGTTTATCAAAGATTCTGTTCAAGGTTCACCCACGACTCTTGTCTAACCCATCTACGCCAACTCCATGTGCTGTCCAAGAACCGTTCCAGCCGTCTCCATCCATTGCCCCACAGTTGACTCCACCATACCCTGTCCAGATGAATTATATGCATGAACACCATGCCATGTACCAATATTGATGTCGTATTTTCGAATTCTTATAAACTGCGGGTATTCAGTGATTTTTTGGTCTCGATAAAATTTTAATCTATGCTGGCTCATGATTAAAGAAGAACTCTGTATCATAAAACTTGAGCGAACCCAGTATGATGAAAAATGTCATTCATAACAAAACAAGAACATAAGGTTACAATTGAACAAGTCATCCAGAAACTACACAGCGGGAAGGGCGGGAGGGGGGGGGGGGGGGGAGGACATGGGGCCAGGGCCCGGCACAGACGGTTTGGGGTCAAACTGGGCTTCGTTTTTGGAGTTAGGGGCAACGGGGATATCGTTTTCATAAGGTCCTGGAGGAAGCGCCAAAATCGACGAACATGTCAGGTTTAAGGAGTTGAACGTGTTTTTTCGCAAGCGCGCGAATTTCAAACGCAGGACTCAAACAAACAAATGGCTTATTTGCGTACAAACATTCACATGGCTCCGAATTTGGGTTATGTATATACAATATTACTCCAAACTATGTTATGTAAAAAGTTCCAGAAACTTATGTGTCCTAATATCCGTTCCCGATTTTGTTGGTTTCTAGACCAACACCAGACCAACTGGGTTGGTTCGGAGCATAAATATCGGAGTCACATAAGTTTTGGACCTCTTTGATTTGAACGATTAGAACGGTCAAAAATCTATCATACAGCGAAGAGAGCGAATCAAACCACTGTCTCTCCTCTTTTTTTCGAGCCAAAAGTAGTGTAATCCTACGCGTTGATAGATATCGCGCTCCAATCACATGCGGTGCCCTTTGAACTATGTGGCGAAAGATGCATCGCCGGATTGTTGAGGCCACAGATTTGGTTGGCCTAGGGGGTTATCGACATTCCGAGCACTAAAATGGTACTTTACCCAATGACAGAGCCTTGAATCAACTCGAAATGCTTTCTTTTTGCTTCTTTGTTATATTAGGTACCTCAAAATGCGCTTTTTCGCTTTTTTATTGTTTTTTTGATTGGATAAGGTTCCCCTACTGATTTTTACGTCAAGAAGGACTTCGTAAGTTTTCGCGAAGTCATGGTGGACTTCGTTGCCAAAAGAGCTCCAAACCAACGCGTGCCGGGCCCTGCATGGGGCAGTAGGGGGAACGGTCAGGAGTCACGGTCGGCGCGAATTTTTCGCGAAGCGATGCCGCAAGCAATGTCAGCAAAACAGAAGCTAGCACTCCTGGCGCAGTCTTACTTATGGCACGAGCCATGTATCTGCCCCCACCCCCCACCCCCTAAACTGGCGCCGTGCCACTTTAGCTCCGGGCAGTTTTATGGGGTACAAAATTTAGACGCGGCGAAGCGGCGCGGCTCGCGGCGTGACTCCTGACGTGGAGCCGGGCAGTAGCATTCGGCACATGGCGCAGTAGCATTCAGCGCCGCCATGATCGGTGGGATCAAAGTTTGGTGTCTAGCTCAGCCAGTAAGGCAACCATGTACCTGGCATGGTAAAGTGGTGCCGAACGATCTACGGGTGCTGAGAGTTAATTTGGTAACAAGGTAAACATGCATATTGTGAAAGTTCGCGCACATTTACTAACCTTTTCGGGCATATTCGCATAGGGCGCTGAAGACAATGGATATCGTACTACGTTCTTGTTTTTGTTCTTACGATGCGCCCGATAAACGCGGTCAAAAGAAAATAGAAAGGTGAGAGGTGTTCACAGGATTTTTTTAAGGAGAAATGCAGCTCTGAAAGCTTTCTGGAACATAACGTGAACATGGAGTTCTAAAATTCATTCGATTTAAAGCGAAAAAAACGAAGGACTTGCCTGATATGAGATAGTTTATCGATCCAAATGTCAATCAACATGTTGACTAAAGTCTAAGCACGCGTATACTCACGTTATCCGACTTTTGCTTCAAACTTGTATGCATGCATTTTGCGGTAGATAAGGATTCTCGGCTCGTATTATGTTTCATTTATTAGCGATACTAGAGGCTTGACTGGTGTGCAGGTCACCTGAAAATCTCGGTTTTCAGCTCCAGTTTTTATCTCGAGATGATACGCCAAGCTCACCTATTGCTCAACAATGCGTACAAAGTGAGAAAAGTAGAGGTTTTCGATACCCTCAATTGTCGTAAATCTCAGGTTTTGTCCTCATCCGCTCGAACATTTATGCTCCTAGAACATCATGGGATGGCTGTTTTGAAATCCGGTGGCATCAATGTTGGTTTTTCTATTGCCTGTTACGCAATATTTTTTAACGAAAAGGCAACAATCACCACCAGTTTGAGGAAAATTCGATATTTCATTCATTTATCGGGTTTGGTTTTTACAATGTCTGCAAATTTTCTTCTTTCATACCTAACTGCGAGAGTGGGGATATGAAAATCATATAAGCAACCCATGAAAACTCGGGCGTAGATTACGCAATTTCAACGCCTCGCGAAGCTCTAAAAAGATGATAGTGCGCTTCTATTCTTTTTATTGACTTTTCTTTTCCTAGGAATGCCCATCGGGCGTTCCACAGGGAGTGATTTTGTCGCCCATACTTTCTCGTATACACGTACGATTTACCTGCTTTCCTCAAAACGGATACGAGGATATTTGTGCATGCGTGCGCGGATGACATCAAGTCACTACAGTCTATATTAAAACAGAAAAAGAAGCAGTTCAGCAGGCTTTGATGGAATCTGTCGAACGTATGTGACAGTGGACGAATTTTTGGCATCTCAAAGTCAATTTTCGTAAAAGTCAGCATCTCCCCATAGGATTTCTTTCACTGAGCGCTTATAACAATGAGCTAGGAAACATATTGGTGAGCACGGAAGTTCGTGATCTTGGCGTGCTAGTTGAAAACGGTTTAACTTTGAGAGCCATACTGACGCGGTGGCGGCCAAGGGCTTGAGGGTTTTGCACTGTCTTTTCAGAAATGTTTCGAGTTCGGATCCTGTTCTTTGGATCAAACTTTTCAAAATGTTCATGTTGCCACTGATTGAACATTGCGGCACTGTATGGAGTCCTTATCGCTACAAAGACGTTAACAAATTTGAGACTGTGCAGAGGACGTTTACCAGAGTGCTCTATTACCGAGTCTTTCCGGACCCAAACTATCTGCAGGGTCTACCCCCATATAAGGTTCGCCTGCACGAGTTGAACCTCAAGAGTTTTTTTACAGAAGGGTAGAAGCAGACTTGATTTTAGCCTATAAAATTCTCAAAGGCGAACTTCGTTTGAAGCCCTCACCCTACTGGGCGTTTCGTCCTGTGTACGGACGGCATGACGGTTTTGCTTTTCGACTCAAGCTACCGAGCGCAATCGTCTGATGTGTACGAGTTCCTTCTTTTTCAGAGTCGCCAAATAGCTGGAACGTTTGCCTACTACTTTTTCATACCTTAAAAATTCAGCACACTTCAAAAAAGCCATCCGCAAAATGGACATTCTACAAGTGCTAGGCATACGTGACGTGGAATGAAGCATCTATTGCTGTTCTTTTCTTTATTCATTACCCGCTTCTTGTTTAACTGTATGTTCCCTGCACTGCCGTAACATGAACAGTCTATCTTTAGTATATTTTCCCATTGTTTTCCTATGTCTGTCCAGAGCTACACAGCTCCGGATGCAGCTTCTGTCAGCTAGCTCTTCTCACTTTTCGTCACCTCTTCAAGTATCCCCGTCAGGTTCTTTGAATGCTTTTTGTTCAGGTCGTTTCTTTCCTTTGCACTACACTGGCGGTGACACTTCAACAGGGATTATTTTATCTTCTTCCGCCACTTCGGTCGGCCATGGCGAGTTCGTGGGGAGGAGCGGGGGTTTCGGTGAGCGGTGGTACTGGCAGCCCCTTGCTAGTACATCCGTTTTAGCTTGTCTGCGGGGGCGTTGTTCCTTTGTTGTTTTTCTTTTCCGTTTGTCGTTTTATACCTGCTCTGATCTGGTTTCCTTGTATTGAAGCACGTCTCTTGGCCTACAAAATAAATAAATAAATAAATAAACTGCTACGAGTTTATTGCATGCCAAGTCTTCTGCGTTTCGGTTGTGGTAGTTTTGCGACCCGACTGAGCGTGACTAACTATTACAACCGAAATTTAAGGTGATCGACATGCAATAAATTTGTAATGTCCTGTTGGGGGAATCGCGAGGCGACAATCGAATGGATTATGACCGAAGATTATGGCGGTTGGACTTTACGTGGCGGACAACTTACAAAGGGCTATAACATTGAGTTAGTGCACATTGTGGTAGATACTCGCTAAGATGGAGCATGTCGGTAAGATATCACTCTACCCTTCTTCGGCCATTTTGTAATCTTATCACCCTTCTTGATTGTCAGTAACGTCACCGCATTTTTAACATTATGCAATATGATCTCCTGGGAATCCGAATTTTTTGTGAAAAGTTCCTTTGAGGTTCCACCTTTCGCCGTTGCAACAACGCCTGAGAAAGTGAAGAAAGAAGCTGAAAATATTGGTATAATTAGTATTCGGTTGATTGTACATCACCGGCATTTTTAACATTAGGCGGCAAGGATTACGTTGTCAAGGCTCAAGTTTTGGCTGGTGGAAGAGGCAAAGGCACATTTGACTCTGGTCTCAAAGGCGGAGTTCATATCGTCTACTCGTTAGTCGAGGGGGCGCTGTAACCTCGGCTTTAGTATTACTTCAGACCCGAAGAGGCCGCAGAAAAGGCAAAGAGGATGATTGGTGCCCATCTCATTACCAAACAGACTGGTAAGGGTGGAAAGCTTTGTGAAGAGGTAAATTTTTCGCCTGTCTGTTAGATTTTTGTTTGTTAAATTGAGTTTATAAGCATATAGTCAGATAAAAAAATCACTCAGGTCATGGTGTGTAAACGACTATTCCCGCGTCGTGAATATTATTTTTCCATAATGCTCGATAGAGCAAATGTGAGCGATATCTTCTGAATTTACAAATGTTTTACCACACATATGATCATGTTTAGGGCCCCATTATTATTGGATCAGGTCGTGGCGGTGTTAACATTGAAGAAGTAGCGGCTACTGAACCAGAAGCTATAGTAAAAGTTCCAATAGATATAGCTACCGGTATAACTCCTCAGACTGCAGCAGATATCGCAAAAAGGATGGGATTCACGGTATAGTTTGCCAGATTTTCAGCAGTAGACCTTAGATCAATTCCCCTTCTTATTACTGTCATAACTAAAGAAAAATTTTTTGGTTCAAGCAAACTTGACTGAACTCTAGGTGAAAAAGAGTGGAAGAGTCCTGACTGGGTTATTTCCAAGCAGTACCTCATACATTCGTGGGGACCACCCTTCTGAGCCAAACGCTGTAACGGAGCACTTCTGACTGGTCACCAAGTCAGCTGCGATTGGCCAGGCTTCAGGCGAGGCGGAGCTAAGATGGAAAACCGGAAACAACTCATGTACTCTAACCGGCTCATTCGTGCCAAGAAACAGCTCTAAACTTTTGCCTCGTACTTCCCAAGCTTTGCAAGACGCTGACTGGTCCCGGAAGGAGTACCGCACAAGACAAAACCATATACAATACCCAAATTTGCTCAAATACCGGCTAGCGCAACTGTAAAATTCCGACATATCTAGGACAGTCCAGCAAAACAGGCTGCCGAGGCGATAATGAAACTTTACGATATTTTTCGAAAATCCGATGCTACTCTTCTCGAAATCAATCCTATGGCTGAAGATATCAACGGAGATGGTATAACGCCTTCTTAAGTTATTTTTGTCCTTGTGTACGATTTTAGATTTCCATTTTAGTCTATTGTATGGACTGCAAGTTGCTTGTTGACGCAAACGCAGAGTTCCGTCAAAAAGAATTATTTTCTCTTAAAGAAGCCAAGCAAGCTGATCCGCTTGAGGTGAATTCATTTTTTTTCTAAGTAACTCTAATCCATCCTGATGAATTGTTGTACGCATAATAACGTACAAGATAGTTGAAAATTTAATAACGAAATGGTGTCCTTGCGGTGCAGACAACACTAGAGCGTAGACGAATAGTAGCGACATGAGGCTAAAGAATTGTTAGGGAGCACAAACTACGTATGTTTTTTGTCCCCTGAATAAGATTAACGCGCAAGTGCGTGTTGTAATTACTAAAATTTGAAAAAAATTTAATCTTTTGATATTTTCAGTCATAACATAGCAGATTTAATGGTTAGCGGGTAGCATTGCGTTGCGGACAGCATTTGCGCGTAAAAAGTTGTAGTCTCGCTCTACATGCGCAATCGCAAGCAACTTGTTGGCATTAAAAAGCATGACCAGTTTGCGCGCAAGTGTTGCTGTCACCGCAAGGACACTACATTAAGCTTCAATTTTCTTTGCGTTTAAAGATAAGACAAAGAACTGCCAGCTTTTCATTTTTAGGCTCGTGCTGCTGCTGTAAACATCAATTATATTCATCTAGACGGGAACATCGGATGTATGGGTGAGCTTTGAGTGAAGATTGGTATTAAAATTTACGCACAAATGTTGTCATCGCTGCAAGAGCAACACGCAAACTTACACAAAGCCTAGTCTTTTATAGTGAATGGAGCTGGATTGGCTATGGCTACCATGGACATTATCAAACTTTATGGTGGAGAGCCTGCAAATTTTCTTGATGTGGGAGGTGGTGCCAGTACCGAACAAGTCATGGAAGCGTTCAAAATTATTACGGCTGATAAGAAAAAGGTGTGCTGATCTTTTTTCATTTGATCACAGCTTTCTCGCTATATTTATTGCAGATCACTGCCATTTTTGTGAACATATTTGGAGGAATTATGCGCTGCGATGTTATTGCTGAAGGAATCATTAAAGCCACTAAAGAACTTGATATCAAGATTCCAATTGTTGTTCGTCTACAGGGTATGCCTTGCTTGGCTAAAAATTGAGGGCCCGACATGAGGGTGGCAAAGTTCGGCCTCTATAGTGGAAGCTTTCTTAGCGCTCACAATTTAATGTGGAATGATAGTATATAGGAGCGAAATGAGGAAAAAACAAAATAGAAAAACGAGAAAGAAACCTTAAAGAAGTTTTCTGACATTCAAACGCCCACTGCAGTGTGCTGTTTGATTGGGGCATGTTATCTCTTGACCAGATAAGTGCACCCTTCAGCAGAAGCAGAGGTGAAGCAAAGTCAAATAAGAATCAAGAGGAACTATTTTATCACTTCTGAGAGGCTTTCAATTCATATCAGATTTTGAAAATTCAAAATTTTTTTTTCAAAACTCAAGCCAAATAGTTTACATGAGATATTTGTATTTCCAAAAATCTTATTTCTCCTTGTGAGCTTACAAGTCAAGTTTAGTGTCAAACCGTCTCTTTCCAGTCGATTTTTACTTGCGTACAAATAAGCCAAATTTTGAATTTACAATATTTTTCGTTTTTGCTGAAATTCAGCTTTTTCTAGTGAGCGCTTCTTTATGCAGTTAGAGATGCTAGAAACAGTATACAATACCGCTACATTTTTGAAAAATAGACGCGAATGTATGGACATGTATGGACATGTACGGACATGTATGGACATGTCTATACATCAGCGTCGCGTGGCCATATCTCGCTTCAGAGTGGACGAATTCTGAATCCAAAGCCACCATTCGATTCAGCTCGGCGCGGAGAATCTTCTGATATATTGGAAGTGGGGGTACGATGTTTTCGATATCTCGTTTTCAGTTTTTTCAATTTGTTCTGCGGAGGTCCTTTCGCGAATTTGTGAAGCAACGCCTACCCAACATAGAAGACTTTACTAAGTACTATTCGATAAGACTGTTCCGCACTTCTCGCGTATCTGTCAGAAACCTTGCCTGCTTGCTTTTCTCAGTCAAAGTTACTAGGAATTGTGCTATCGAATGGTGCATTACTCAGGCTCCAGTCTGTGAAAATCGCCGAGTTACGAGCCAACGAAAACACGTTCTCATTAATTTTGCCCAACATGTAAAGATCGCATATCTCGTCGAAATTCCTCCGTGAGCGCTTGTATGACGCTCGTTGGATATTATGTTCGCTTCGTCGGACGACTCCCACTATACTGAATATGGTGCTTGCGTCTGTTTCAGTTGCTCAATTGAATATCAAAGCTATTTCGTGGCTAAAGCTCAAAGCACCAAATCTAACACAATGAGATTCATTGAAAGATTCCAGATACTTTACAATCTCAGAGCACGAATGTTTTCAAACGCAAAATCAACACACTTGATCTCTTATCTACGTTTGAGGTCTGAGAATGAGTAATGAATAGCACCAATTCGTCATCTGTTTTGCTATAGCTGGCCATGTGCGATTACATTATCCGACCACAAAATGCATGCCAAATACAACCATCAATTTGTGTTTTTTTGAATATTATTTTCTTTCAAATGTCTTACTAACCCATATCTTCCTATTACGTTAGTTCAGGTCTAATCAATTTACTTCTCTTCCCAATCATTACAGCTTGTTGACTTGCTCTTAAATGAATTACAAAAAGTGAAACTATTTGACATACTTTCGGTGTCATTGGACTCTCCCCGGAATCATTTAAGCAAGGTTGATTGGTATTACTGCACCAACCGAGCCCCGCTTTGCTTCATTATTGTAAGAGCATCTTCTGCTGGCGAATGAGTTGGCATGATTGCCATCTCCATAGATTATAACAACCTAACTTGCTCACGCTATTCATCATTACAACCTTTATTGAAATTCACTTGGAGTCACTGGCTCACACTGGTTTACTGGTTTGGTGGGTCAGATAATAATATACACCATGTCAAAATAGTTTGCTGGCAAAAGGGGGCATGGGTACATCTCCATGAATCGCATCATTTAATTCCGATAATTATAATCATAGAGCAGTCAAATACAAGCTTTCATCACATTTTTATCAAGATTAGACCTAAACTAATGATGCACTATCGTTGCGGTTAGAGTGTAAATGACTGCTTTCTACTCTATTGTATTTAACGCCAAGAGCTTATAGAATAAATAAATAAATAAATAAATATGTGAAAGGATTTGATCAGCGCGTTGTACAAGCGCTCACGGAGGACTTTCGAAGAGATATGCGATCTTTACATTTTGGGCAAAATTAATGAGAACGTGTTTTCGTTGGCTCGTAACTCGGCGAATTTCACAGACTGGAGCCTGAGTAATGCACCATTCGATAGCACAATTCCTAGTAACTTTGACTGAGAAAAGCAAGCAGGCAAGGTTTCTGACAGATAGGGAGAAGTGCGGCCAAAATTACGCACTTTCGTGATGCAGTTACAATCACCTCACCGTATCTCTCCAAAAAGACCCTGTAATCCTCAAAGACCACGATTTTCGTAAAGAGCGTGTTCGAAAACCTCTATAAGCGAAGTTTTCCTACAATTCAAGAGCATCAACATTTTGACCAAAATCCATCGGCGAGCTTCCGGAGCGTAAAACGAGAAAAAATGGAATAGCCCGAACTTATTGGAAAACTTGCTCGTAGAGGTTATGCGACCTGCTGATTTCGAAACTCACATCTGCTTAGCAAGATAGCTTCGTATCCTGCGGATATGGCGAGGAGAATTTGGGATGACAAGATTTTTCCACAATTCACTCGCCGTTCTACTTTCTTTGAAAAGAAACCTGCGGCTACTATTTAGCATATTTAAATCTACAGAAAAGTGCTATCAAAATATCCTTGCTGGAATGTACCCGGAACAATGCTCGCTGCTTTACACCTTCGCGAAAAGACGTCCTCAGAAAGATTCAAGAATACTAAAATCGAAATATCAAGGACATGCTGTATAAAATAAGATTCGCCTTGATGAACTGAGCAACGCACTGTTTTCGGATTAAAAATATACTTGTTCCGAATGAAGTTATGGCGAGTAGAATTTAAAAACGCGTGATTTTTCCAAAATTCACCAACGCTTCTATCTCCTTTGAAAAAAAGCCTGAGCCTACTTTCTAAAGCGCAATAATCTACAAGAACAGTGTTATCGAATAGTACTTAGTAAAGTTTTCTATGTTGGGTAGGCGTTGCTTCAAATATTCGCGAAAGGACCTCCGCAGAACAAATTGAAAAAACTGAAAACGAAATATCGAAAACATCGTACCCCCACTTCCAATATATCAGAAGATTCTCCGCGCCGAGCTGAATCGAATGGTGGCTTTGGATTCAGAATTCGTCCACTCTGAAGCGAGATATGGCCACGCGACGCTGATGTATAGACATGTCCATACATGTCCATACATTCGCGTCTATTTTTCAAAAAATGTGAGCGGTATTGTATATACGGGGTGATCAACCTTCAATGGTAACTATCACTGTTCAAGCGCCAAAAATTGCCCCAAGGACACGTCATCGTTCGCGACGCAGGACGGTACGAGGCGGAGCAGCTGGAGCTATAACATTGTGATTGATGCAGCCTGTAAATGTACATCAATGTACCTATTTTTGAGACATTTCTTGTTTTTTCTAAAAAATTCTAACTTGGTAACGTCTGTCACCCTCATGACAGGATCTGCTTAATATACTTTCACAAAAACAAATTCATGTTCAGGAACAAAAGTGGAAGAAGGTAAAGCTATCATTGCTAAATCAAATTTGAGAATTGTGACATGTGATAATCTTGATGAGGTATGATGCTCTCTATAACCATACAAGCACGGAGTTTTTTGGAACTCTTGAAGAAACAGCTTACTTTAGGCTGCCAAAATGGCTGTGAAGTTATCCGACGTTGTCGAATTGGCTCGAGAAGACCACATTGATGTGAAATTTCAAACACCTTAGAACAAGCTTTTCGTTGTCTTATGTTTATTTCTAACAAAGGATCTAGCAAAATTCGGCAATTTTGTTTCTTTTTATTTATTCACTGCTAGAAAGAACATTTTTCATGTTCATCTAAATAAAATTAAATTGAGCGATGGTGAAAACTAGTCCTGTTGAATCGACAAGATCTTTGTCAAAAAGCGCAGGATTTTCGCTCTCAAACATCTATTCGAGCAATTCTTCCTAGAGGAAACTGAGAAATTGATTTCTTCAAGATTATGGTACATGGCTTCCGCACCAGCCTAATAACAATAATTCTTTGAGTGTAATCGCACTCATGAAGCTTTGCATCCACTAGAAGGTCATTTTCGGATATTCTACAATATGCTGAAAGTTGTCTAGTGACTTGATGCAAAAGTTATGTTATGTACCAGAGCGGATGCAGAGAAGCCTTTATCCGAGCGAGCCAGCCAGAAGAATGAGGAGTGTCCGACTGTCACGACTATATATGGCTAACTTATTTACATAAACAAAACCGATATCGTATCATATCATTCAGCACATCATTCCTCAACAAGTTAGATAAGGAAAATTACCGGCATGTCGATGAATCCCCAAGAACTCCTAAAATTACGCTTAATTTTATTATATATCGGCACTTTAGCAAATTTATCCGATATCCTCCTCCCTACACAATATCACCGAAAAATAGTACTCCGTTCAGACGAAATGGTATTTGCAAAGAGTGACTTAGTTACTCGGGGCAGTAAAACTCTTTCATCTTTCCTATTTTGCACCTTATAGGCAGGGTCGGGACAAAAACTATGCTCCCCGATTATCTTCAAGAAGGAACCAGGTGTAGGATACGTTAGTCCGGTCCTCTAAGGTAGCCTCTAAATGGAAAAATGCTATCAAGCCACTCCCACCCTATGAAGCTCCGCCCACTCAGGTACTCAACTCACTGACGACGACTCCTAATTTTGCTTGGCGGCGCCGTGGGACGACGCGTTTTTGCATAACACCTTCGGCGTGAGAAAGATTTGTAATTATTTACGAAATGTAAAGTAGTTTTGTAAAGAATCAAATCATCTTCTTGGACGATGAGCTCTACAGGTTTCAAAAGTGCAAAAAATTGAAAAAAAAATGAAACTATGGAAAAAATACTAGACCTGGAAAGAATATGATTTTGCAAAGGGTTAGGCCACCGGTGGTCCACATCGTCGTCAATGAATTAAAGTCGTTTGTGCCTTCGTGGAAAGGTTCCCATAGATCGGATTTTTTGAGGGTTTTGCACATTTTGCACCAATATCTGTGATCAAGGGCACGAAGAGGCTCCAGAATGACAAAAACATGGAAGACGCAAATTTGGATGAGTGCTGCCCTGAATCAGAGTTTCCCGAGTTTCTGAAGAAGAAATTTTTTGATAGTAACACTCCATCAATAATGGAATGTGCATAGTTTGCATCTACTTTGACATGACGTTTAGTAGGATTCCTTCTGGAGATTTACATTCTAAACCTTAGCTGATCGCCTTAATCTTTTGAAGGCATGCTTTTGCTGAAGGAGGCGTCGCTGCGTAACAACCAGTTTCAGCTTATAGAAACAAATATCAACCCATCAATTGTGTGTGGTTCCTATGACTCTTTCAGCATCTTATAATAATAGAATTCTGACTTTGCTTCGGAACGGTCAGCGTCTATGGCGATAAAATGGCTAGTTGTGGCGCATTCGTACCATTATCCTTATCTCTTTCAGGCATGACAGAGTTTAACCTGCGCATTTGATGAAGTGGACGTTGTGCTTGGCGATGATTATATTAGGTTGTAAAGAAAGTTCCCGGGCACTTTTGGAAATTTCATTTTCAAACCATTTTTTCGGAGCTCGGTCGGACTTTGACACCAAGTTTTTTATACTGTTCAGTAGAGAGAAGCCTGAAGTTATCAATAAGCCTTCTGACTTATATCGACTTATTGTTTGATCTGCACATCAAAAAGAAAAGTTTTTCCAACCATAAAAATTTCACAGTTTTTCTTCTTAAGGCCATTTTTTTGTGCAATTCAATTAATTTCGTCCGAATCATGGGCGATCTGATTGAGAAGCTTGTTAACTTCTGACCCACCGGTGCACTCGAATTTTGCGATTTGTGCTCAAAAATTAGAAGCTGTCAAACTTGCCTCTGACTACAACTCTTTTCGCAGCTGGCGTCGCTTCTGCGGGGATCGTCACGTCTGGATGATGGAACAGATGTGAAAAGCATTACACCAACAATGTTCGCAGTAATCATAGATTTGATCCACCCTATGCAGAACGACAAGACTTCAAAGTCACTTACTCAAAAATGGTGCATTTTTAGGGGCAAAAAATGGTCGATTTTTCAAATTTTCTAAAAAAAATTTTTTGCAGGTGATCCTGCAAAAACATGGCTGATCCCCATAACAGTCCCAGCAGACTTCTATATAGCTGCAGCATTTGACCTCTCCAGCTTTCATCGTGCCTGAGATAATCCTGCACAAATAGGCCATTGTTCGCGACGACCTTTTTCTCTTCTGCACATTCTGGTGGACCGCAGTGAGGTGCTGAGAAGAGCCAGCAAGACAAATATATGTTGTGGACTAAATTGTCTTTGCAATGAAGTTTGCAGCTTTAAAAAAGGATCAATCTGCTTGAAGTTACAGCGATTTGAAGAATAATTTTCGCAAGTGCCCGGAAACTTTCTTTACAACCTAATAATTATTTCAGTTTCATTAACGAAACTGAATGTTTTGCTAAATGCTTTCTTAATACAACTTGCGTAGGATACAGAAACGTGATTTTAGCGATGCAATTCAAGCGAACAAATAAGATTATACGAACAACATTGATGCCATTCGCAGGCGATCAGAAGAATAAGAATTTGAATTAGTTGGAATTTTTCAAATTTTGCTTGATCGATTTCGCTCGTGTTTGACGATTTGTAGAAATGTTATAAACAAATCTTACATTAGTATATGGTTCATCGGAAAGAGCAAATGAGAAGTTGAATGGTCAGGTTCTAAGGGCAAAAATCATTTGTTTGATTACGAAATGGTACAGAATTGGGATATTCAAACTTTTCAACGCTAGTTTTTGAAATATCATGTTTCCAAACTAAAGCTGGGTCTAAATTGTAGAAATTTTATGCGCCCATATATTCGGTCGTTCCATAAGTTCGTAGCGTTTTCATTCTCGTGCTAATATTGGAAGGCGCTTGATTTGCGGCAAGTTGCGCATATCATCGAAAAGCTGGAAACGTACTAGCATGCGATGTACTCCTCAGACCTCGCCCTACCAGATGATTACTTGTTCCGCTCTTCTGCAAACCATAGAACGATGAACGATGCTTGTTCCGATCCTAAAGGCGATCTTAAAGGCAGTGCCCAGACTAGGTTGGAAGTTTTGGGATTTCACTGCTGCGCAAAAGTGGCCCCTGACATACTCGACAGCCCACTCGCGGACACATAACGTGGAGCCAGAAGAGAGAATAATGCTCCGGCTGAGAGAGCAACGCCGCTTGGAGGACAACACCCATCGAATCGATTAGCTAGAGTGCAATATCGCACACAGTCAAGACGTAGGGTCCCACCAAGGCTCTGCGTTTCAACCTCGGGGCCAGGGCCCCGCACGCGTTGGTTTGGAGCGTATTTAGAAACGAAGTCCCCTAACGAATTCGCGAAAATTTACGAAGTTCTTTTGACTTAATTTCAGTAGGGAAACCCTTGTTCAGTCAACATAACAAAACATAACGATAAAAAAGCAAAAAAAGTGAGTTTTGAGGTACATAATGTAACAAAAAAGCAAAACATTCTGAGTCGATTCAGTTCTTGAGTATGGTACCGTTTTAGTGTTCAGAACGTTGAAAACCTCTTAGGCCAACCAAATGTGTGATCTCAACAATCTGACGATGTACTCAGACACTCGCGGTTGACTCGCGCAGGGCAAAACGATGTGTCGCCATTGAATGCGTGGGCGACTCGCGAAATCGGTGTCGCGGCAAAATCAGGACACCTGATTTTGTGTCGCGGCAAAAGTGCGCGGCAAAATCGGGGCAAAATCAGGACACCTGCGCGAGACACCAAAATGTCGCGATCGTTCAGAGCACGCGGTCTACGCCCTTAGTGAAAGCTTTTTGCGTTCTCTAAGCGCTCTCTCATGCCTTCCTTTTGACTTACCTTGAGTCCTTTGTCACGCTGGGTCCCGTTTCTCACGCTTGTTTCTTTTCTGCTGATAAAACCCAGTCTTACGTCATAAAATTTATTAACAAATACCGCATGATCTTCTCGAGTAGAGTTTACAATGACATGGAAATGATATGCACAGTCAGCAGCAATTACAGGATTGAAAACACCACAAAAACGACAGATTACGAAAAAACTACGACTAAGAATGAGAACAGCATGAGTCTTCGACTACTTCAACTTCGTCTTCGACGGTTTCAGTCTTCAGGATCACTTCGTCTTCTTTAGTAACAGTGCTGCCTTCGACCAAGACACGCTTTTTCTGAAAATGAAAAATTATTGTTACCAGGATCGTATAAAAGAAATGAATCACCTTTGATGGAAGGTAATACCGGTAATAATTTCTTCGTCTTGCTTCAACAAAAATCGCTCGAAAGCTGATGTTGCGTGGAGAGCGTTCAGCGGGAAATCTTCAGCGTCCAGTGTCTCCAGATCATGGGCAAGAGTAAGCAGGAAGTCAACTAGTAGTGTGCATATCTGAAAGACTGAGACTGTGCAGAAATTCTAGAATTTCGATCTTCCGTTACGACAAGGCTCACCTCCTTAGATATCTTCAACAAACACACAGGAATGAAATCGAACTCTAAGAAGGCTATGACGTTTCGCCATATGTTCAACTTCTCTTCAAAAAAATCGAAATAACCGAAATAACAAGTCCATGGGAGTACCCACTAAGTACAACTGCTCGCAAGATCTCGAAAAAGTTCTCCAAATTTCCTTCGGCTAGCTCTTCGTTATTCACACCATTGAAACACGTAGCAAGGTGGTTGAAGTGTCGATTCCACAAAATCCTGCCTGGCTTTCTAAACAGCTCAAAAGTCGAGCTGAAAAAGGAAAAGCAAAAGATAGTGTGAGAGGTCATAGCGGAACTGGTAGGAATAACGAAGGGTCAAACAACGAAACCGTGGCAAGAAAATCTCCCGATAATCAGATAAAAAGTTGGAAGCACATGGTAAGATAACATTTGATTGACTTTCTACACACAAGTAATCTCAAAAATATCGAGTTAGAAAGTGTTGGGATCCACTGTTTCAAGCAAAAAGATTGAAAAACAATGGAAAGCAAAGTGCTAAAGCACCCTCCCCCCCCCCCCCGCAATAACAATTGAAAGAGTAATTCAAATCGAAAGGAAGAGAAGCAAGAAAAGCTAGGAAGAATTGACCTATACGTGCGTTATTTCGAAATCTTCGCCCGTCGCGGCAAAATCGCACTAAAATCGGGGCGAAACTGAAACGATGACTCGCGCCGGTCCACCGGATTTTGCTGCGAACGCCCATTTTTTGGGCGGATCCCCTGCGCGACTCAACCACGAGTGTCTGAGTATTTTTTGCCACATAGTTCAGAGGAACACCGCACGTGATTGGAGCGCGATATCTGTCGATGTTTGATTTGCACTATTTCTGGGTCAAAAAAAGAGGAGAAGCAGTGGTTTGATTCGCTTTCTTCGCTATATGATAGATTTTGGAGCGTTCTCTTCGTCCAAATAAAAAAGTCCCAAAACTTATGTGAACTCTCCGATATTTATGCTCCAACCCATTTACTTTGGTGTTGGTCTAGAAACCAGCAAATTCGGGAACGGGTATTAGGACACATAAGTTTTTGAAACTTTTTACATAATGTTGTTTGCACTAATATATTGTATATATACATAGCCCAAATTCGACGTCATGTGGTTGTTTGTGCGTTGTAAACAAGCCATCTGTTTGTTTGGGTCTTACGTTTGAAAGTCGCGCGCTTGCCAAAGAACGCGTTGAATCTGTAAAACCTGACTTGTTTGTCGTTTTTTTTTCGGTGCTTCGTCTAGGACTTTATAAAAACGATATCCCCGTTGCTTTTAACCTCTAAAACGAAGTCCAGTTTGACCCCGAACCATCTGTGCCGGACCCTGTCGGCGGCAGTCTAAATTCAAAATCAGGGGATTTCTGGAATAGCCCGTTTTCGTCATTTTCGTACTCTGCAAGCTGCCTTTTCGGAGTCAGCGTAAAGGATATGCCAACGCAACGAAAAAAATTTTGTTTAAAATTTTGTTCGGACACTGCCTTTAAGCGCCGGTTAAACGACTTTTTGGGGACCCGACCTGCTGAGTTTGGTTGTGCGCAACAATGGAAAACACACCGACCGAATTTCGACTAAATTTTGTCATTTCGAAGGTTTTGATACGAACTTATGGAACGACCTGATAATTTTGGACATTCACCATCAATTTTTTGGCCATAAATGTCAAATTCAAGCGATCGACTGCCCAAACGTTTATTTCTGCACATTCAAGCAATCTATTTCTATTTTCTTGCATCCAAAACACAGCCATAATCAAAGTTTACAGGCACAGATATATCAAATCTCCTAGAAACAAATGTGGATCCTCCATCTTTCGGTTTCTAGGTTACTGGCGGAGCTTAGTAAACTTCTGCCACTGCTCCGAAACGGTCGGCTTTCATGGCGATAATATGGTTCGTCGTCCTTGTTCTCTTTACTCAGGTAATCCATTCATTATGGCCATCCTTTTCACAGAGTGAATCAAGCCATTCTCTTGCAGGCATTCCGGGCTTTATCCTGCGCTTTTGATAGAGTGGAAACGTTGACTGGCAGAATGTATCATTATTTCACTGACTCTAACGAGAACGACTGCTTCGCCAAATGTTTTGAGTACATGGCATGCACTGGGATTGGGTACAGAAAGATGAGTTTGAAGCTACAAATTAAACGAAGCAAGTTTCCATAAATCAGCAGCAATAAGGGAGAGAATATAATTTCAAGAAATGCGTAACCTCATACTGGAGGGGGAGGTAAAAAGATACACAAAAATAGAACATGCTCTGATTACTTTCTTCCACGCTGCAGAATCCTTATAAGCGAGCGAACTTGAAGCTTGAAACGAGTTTATGCCGTTAACACCCCCTCCCCTCTCCCTTAACAGTTAAGTTAGATTCAATGTCGAGATTTGGCAGGAGGATCAACCTTTAGACATGTAAATATGTTCCTTCGCCTGTCTCTGATAAAACAGCAATGTGCTTTGTTGAAGCTCGCTCCCTTTGAATGTTTGCCTCGAAACGAGCATATGAAAAAACGTTATTCAAATACGAAAACAAAATTTACTAGCAAAACATTGCAGATTGAAAACTACTGTCAATTGTTTTCCGCTGGAAAAGCAGAATTCGGGAAGAAGTATGAAAGCGACACCCTGTACAGCTTCCAGCGCGATGATGTGGATTCGACGGGATGCACAAGATATGTTGGCGTCTAAGTGGTAGTGGAGCAAATAACCAGGAATTCTCGGCTATGAACGCGCTTTCAAGCGTTCATCATGTTACAAAATAAAGCATTTATTGTGTGCAAATGTACAGAAACACGGACGAGCACTACAGTGACTTCCAGCTGTGTATGTAATGACTTTTGTTTCGCGGACAGCAATTGAAAAATTTATACACATCATACAAACATCATGTGTCATTTGTAGCAAACGACTAGTGACACCGTACCCAATTTACAGAATTTACAGCAGGTTACAGTTATGAGGTTTGCGATAAGATCCATTTGTCGACTAAATTGGAAACGTAATTCCGACTTTAGGGTGTTACAACAAGTGGTTCAGACGGGCCTCGTCCACTGTTTTATAGGCCTCATCAACGGTGCTGCCGTCTTCAAGAACAACTGCCTGTAAAAATAGACTGAATCTTTCAGGAGTAGCAGTGAAGCCACGTAATTGCTGACATGAATTGATAAGGACCGAGAGGGACTAGCGTTTTTTTCGGCCTAGGATCGTTTGTGATAGAACTTCAGAAACAGCTCTAAAGACCATACATGACGCTCCCCTCCTTTATGGTACCTTCATATGCGCCGGCAGCCGCCGTTGGTGGCCGCCGCCGCCAGCAGCCGCCAGCAGGCGCCAGCACCCCATATTCGCGACTGGCCGCTTTTATTATGTAAGGCGCAAAATCACATTACTACTTTGAGTGCATCCTCCTAGGCTTTTCATCCTCCACGCCCGTTTCCTTCCAAATTGCGCTAGTATGCAGTTCGAGTCTCCTATACATATCATATTCGTGTTTATTGTTGTCATTATCTCCTTGCCGTAGACTGGATTTTCTGTCAGTGCTCAACTTTTGAACCAAAAAACTCGGAATCGCTTTGCCATATCAAAAGAAGCTTGAACGCGTGGTTAACAAGTTTGCGCTTGTAGCCCAATTCATCAAGCTTTATTCACTTCTTAAAACCAGGCGAGAACGAGTTCAACTTTTCGACAAAGTGCCAAAAATGCCAAAGATGTAGGAAGCAAACACGCAACCAAATTTCGAGGAGCAACCCAATCACCCATTATCAGAATCATCTCAGACAAGACAGATTGTAATGCGTGAGCACCTATAGAACATCCAATTCACAGAGATAAATACAATAACGAACACAGATATGATATAGAAGGGTCGAACTGCATACTAGCGCAATTACTTAGATAATCGCCGGGGGCAGGCGGCCGTGCAATTTATGGGCGTGCGGGCACCGGAAAAATAGTTCGCTGATTTCTTGCGGTCCGCTTGCAGATATTTGGAAGAATTTTAGCGAAATTTTAGACGAATGCTTGGAAAACAATCGCGGTTTCCTTATAGATTAGCTGTGGCGCAGTGTCCGCATTTTCGCGGACTTTCCTCGAGAATGGGCAAAATTTTCCAGGGCCGCACGGTCATTTGTGGAGGACCGCGCAGCCCCCAGGTACTTTCCGCTGAGAGAAAGTACCTAAAACTTGACTAATTAAACCAACGATGACACCTCTGCTACACAGAGTCTTACCTGTGCTCGGTGTATGCCCGAAACTGCTTAAAAAGAGTCCGAGCGCTTGCTGAAAGTTTGGCTAGCGCTCGCTGAAAGAAATTTGCCGAGCGCTTGCAGAAAATGCTGTATTGCTGCCAGCTGGCAGAATATGCGACGGTAAAGGAAGTGCCCAGCTGAACGTTTGGCCACGCCCCAAAATTCTGTTGACCGCCTGCATAAAAAAGAGAGTTTGCGGACCGCCTGTTCCCGGCGATTATCTGAATAGGAAGGAAAAAGTGTGAAGGATGAAAAGCGTAGGCGGATGCACTCAAAGCTGTAAAAGTATAATTTTGGGCTCCTATGATGGCGAAAGCGGCGAGCGGCAGCTACGGGCTGCTAGCGGCGACTGCCGGCCGGGTCATGAAAGCAGCCTTAAAAAATAGCAGTCGCATCTTTGTTGCACTGTCTTTGAAAGCATCAAACATTTCGTTATAGCGAAGCGATTACTGCTGCGGCATCGTTTTGCGCAAGATATGCCGTACTTCCACATGCTTCACGTATCGTGCTACAAAGATAGTCGCAATCTTAGCATGCAAAGCATACAAAAAAGAAGCAGCAACACGTTTCACTAGGTAGTTAAAGTCAAAAAAAACAGTTTTCATGATGTGCTCATCTCGTACTATATTAACATCGATGTACTTTTTGCAGAAAAAGTTCTGAGATTACCTATCCATTAGCTCCTTCTATAACGTTGACTACATCAAGTAGCTTCTTCTATATCCTTTACAGAGGAACCATGCAAACTCACGCTAACGCTACAATTTTACTGCTCCAAATCCTTGGTTTTTTAACAAAAAACTGGTTAGCATTATTGAAGATTTTCCACGTACTCTCTTCTTTAAACCTGGGCATGTTGTATCGGATATCGTGTATTGTTCTTCTGCCAACCAGGTTTGTGGTGGATCTTTATTGACCTTACGTTTCAACTAATATCGTCTTCTTCGGAGGTCTGAAAAGGAACTGCGGTGATGTTATCTGTTTGTCTATACGACCAAACGCCTCATCAGACTTCCATCGTTCGAACCTCGTCTGGGCGCAACGTGCCGAGAAACAATCCAAAATGGATTTACCAACCTCTAATCCACCATGGAGTCAGTAGTCCGCACGGATGTGACAGATATCACTGAGATTGCTCAGTGAGTCAAGGACTATATATACTGTGCGGGTTAAGGCCACATAATGACATAAGAGGCAAGAGATCAGTCGTTATCGTCACGCGCTCATTTTTGTTGTTCATACCCGGATTTCCGGCGTAGATCAACGCGGCCTCTAGCATTTTTCGTGCTGAAATCTCGACCTCCTGCGCTAAAATTGTGCACTTCACGCTAAAATCGTCACCATCGTGTGCTTCAATCTTATGTTTGCCCAACGGTGATGACACTAGATCAACGCGGCCTCTAGCATTTTTCGTGCTGAAATGAGAATTTGGGAAACAAGATTTTTTTACGATTTACCAGCCTTTCTACCTCCATTGGAAAGATGCCTGTGACTACTTTTTAGCGCTACATAATCTACAGAAAAAGCACTATCGAAAGGTCCTTGCTGGAGTCTACTAGGTGCAATGCGCGCTGCTACACCTTCGCGAAAAGACGTCTACAGAAAGATTTGAGAATATTGAAATCGGAATATGAAGGATATGCTGTATATCGAAAGACTTGCCTTGATGAACTGAGCACAAAGCTTTCTTCGGATTCGGAATATGTTCATTCCGAAGGAAGTTACGGCGAGTAGAATTTAGAAACGCGCGATTTTTCCAAAATTCACCAATGCTTCTGTCTCTTTTGGGAGACACTCTGCAGCTACTCTTGAGCGCACGATAACCTACAAGGACAGTACTACCGAACAGTACTTACTGAAATCTTTTGCGTTACACAGACGCTGCGTTACATCCTTGCAAAAAGACCTCCACAGAAAAAATTCGAGAAAAACTGGAAACGGAATATCGAGAGCATACTGTATATCAAAATATTGCCTCAACGATCTGAACACACTGCTGCTTCAGGATTCGAAATATATTTATTCGGAAGGAAGTTTTGGCGTTGCGATCCCGGAATTCCGCGAAGTTCACGGAAATTTTGACATTCTGTAAGCGGTATTGTGATCTTCAGCAGATCTTAGAACAAATTCGATCAGAGTGGCTCTCTACCATACTCCTATAGTATACTGTCTATGTGTCATCAGCGACAGATCAATGGTAATACTGTTATCAGCACACTGAATTCAACCAAAATATAATAATCAATAATTCTGAAAACTAATATTGTATTCGCAATCCCCATGCTCACTTACCCTCGCCCTGTGCCAACTCCCACCCCGTAGGTGAACTCTGCAAAAAAATCAATAAAAATCCATATAAGTAATCGATAATTCTGCAAACTAATATTGTATTCGGAATCCCCATCCTCACTTACCTCCCTGTGCCAACTCCCGGCCCCGTAGGTGAACTCTGCAAAAAATCGATTATAATCGATAAATTCGGTATTGATCGATGACGAAAAGTAGCCTATGACACCCGCCGGCGCCCGAAGTGTATGTGTGCCAAGTTTGGTCCGGATCGGTTCAGAAATGGAATTTTCTATTCGGAACATACGTACAGACAAACAGACAAACAGACGTTCAGCTTCATATATAAGATGATGCGTCTCGCCGAGCTGAATCGAACGGTGTCGTCGGATTCAGAATTCGTCCATTCTGAAGCGAGATATTTTTTTGACGAGTTATGAGCGGTATTGTAGGTGTCACCCAAAGTGTGTCCATATGAAGGTGCGGAACTACGACATAAACCATTTGGTAGTGCATCTTTAGTAAAATTAAGCTACCGGCATTCATTTAGAAGTTTCTCTTTATAGAGAGAAAATGACAAAACAGTAGACAAAACAGTAAACAGTCTCAATGTAAATCCACTTGCTTTTAGAG